ATAATAATAATAATAAAATGTGGGCAGAGGAGAGATGAGTATGAAAGAAGAGGTGAATCACAGAATATGAAAAAAAAAAAAAAAAAAAAAGGTAAGTGGTATGTTAAGATACCGGTGGAAATCAATATATGATAACAAGGGGCATGTACCAGGGTATAGTGGCACAACACATTTAAATGGGTGTGATGTATGGGATTTAAATGCTGCAGCAAGGAGGCTGAAGGGAGTGGAGATATGTTTGTGACCAATATGTGGTGTTTATATTACATAAATAATTTGGAGCATGGAGATTAGGAGACAGTAAGGGGTTATCAAAAGTATAATTTAGAGGACTAAGGAGAGATTGTTGAGATGGTCTGGGCACGAGACGATGAAGCAGATTAGGATAATTAAGAGTACAGTGAATACGTCTGGGGTAGGAGGAGGGGGATAGGGGATTATCCAGTTAAGAGTTAGAGGGAGGAAGTTCAGAAGGTTTTCAGTGCTAGGGATTTTAACATTTAACCTGCTTTTGTGAATGTTAGACTGAAAGGAAAACTGGTATTTATGGCTTAACATACACAAATAACCCCACATACGGCAATGAAATTAATGATGAAATTTCAGTCCAAGTTGGATCAAAATGTCATCCTAAACTTCATTCTCCTATGTGTGCATTATTTGTGTATTGTTCCAATCATGGTATTGTGCATTTTTTATTCTTTATGGCTTGATGTGTTGATGGAGTGAGCAAGGTAATAGGATTCAGAGGACCTGTTGGCCAGGCTTGAATCCTAAAGGTAGGATGGGCAGTCCCTACACACTTTTAAGATGGTGAATGATTTTTATTTTTGTGTACATGTATGTACTTGCTTATCTGTGGTTGCAGGGGTTGTCATTCCTCCTGGCCCTGCCTCTTCACTGGTTGCTACTAGGTCCACACACTCCCTGCTCCATGAGCTTTATTGTATCTTCTTAAAAGCTATGGATGGATGGATTCTGCCTCCACTTCAACACTCTCCAGATTGTTTCACTTCCTGACAACTCGAATAAATATTTCCTAACATCCCTGTGACTCACCTGAGTTTTCAACTTTGAGTTGTGACCCCTTGTTGCTGTGTCCCATCTCTGAAATCGCCTGTCCCTATCCACCTTGTCAATTCCTCAGTATTTTATATATCGTTATCATGTCCCTCCCCCCATCCATCTTGTTCTCAGTGTCGTCAAGTTGATTTCCCTTAACCTCTCCTTGTAGGGCATATCCCTCAGCTCTGGAATTAGTCGTAGCAAACCTTTGCACTTTCTCTAATATCTCGATGTTCTTGGCCAGGTGTGGGTTCCATACTGGTGCTGCATACTCCAAATAAGGGCCTGATGTACACAGTGTACAGAGTCTTGAATGATTCCTTACTCAGGTATTGAAATGCTATTCTTAGGTTTGCCAGTTGCCCATATGTGTGTAGGTGTTGATGGCCAGTTCAAACATTCTTAACAAATGTACTTAGCAATAAAGTAAATTAGTGATAAAAAGGGGTTTACTATTTTAAATATTGTACAATTTATAATTCATATCATAGGGAAACCCCATAATACTGCTAATTCAAGGTATATTTTACAACCTTCTACTGCATAAGATTTCCAATTACCTCTAGTCTTGTACAACATGTTTAATTTTAAACTTAATAAATAATAAACTTTGAAGTGAAGACCTATTAATACAAAGATAATCACAAGCTGTAAACAGTACCTAAATTACTGTTGCTTTATATCAGTGCTGAGAGGAAGAAATAATGTCAATGAGAATAACCAAGAATTATTTTTCTACTTTTTATATATTACTATGATTTTTATACTTTTTTTAATATATTACTATGATTTTAAATTTTTTATTCTAGAGAAAGGAAACAAAAACTTGGACTAGGCAGTTAAACACAACCCATATCCAAGAGTCTACTCTATGTACAGCACGCAGTAACCCGGTGTCTACATTCCGGAAAGTCCTAACACCATCCATAATGTATATAAAGAATAAAATACAGGCTTTATATACATAATAAATTTACAGCTACTGTACATAAAATGAATACTACCTGATCACACATATTTCCTCTGAACTTAATAATAAAATATTTGTCATTTTTAAAAAAAAACATATAGTAGTCATAGTATGAATATTTTTAATAAATGTCAACACTCATGAATTGCTTGATTAACCCTTAAATGGTCCAAACGTATATATACATTTTTTCAACATCTGAAAGTATGTAAAAAAATGTAGAGCTTCTTTTTTGTTTTACATTTGAAAACGTGTAAAAAAAACTTTTATCTACATTTTTTTTTGTTATATTTGAAAACATATAAAAAAAAAGTAGATCTACTTTTGTAGCACTACGAATTTGAACGTCGATCTCTTTGGACCGTTTAAGGGTTAAACATTTCTGAACTATTATACCTTTTTAAATTTTAAAATGCTAGAAAGGTCTCCAAAGTTGGCTTTTTTAAATATGAAAACATTTAAATCAGCAGCTTAGATACAGTAAACTGTTGAAATAGCAGCACCCTAAATAAGGGCACACTCAAGCTAACGGCACAATGAAACCAGTGCTATGTATACAGAGCCCTGATGTGCGGTGGCAGAACGCGGCAACGTGTGAATATTTGTTTACATCACTGTTTTTTGAAAGTGAACTCCGTACTGATAGCATGCTACAGTATACAATGCCATTTTACCTTTACTGCATATGTAATTAGTGAAAGTTAATAACCCATAAAAATGTCTCCTTAACCTGCCAGTGAAGTGAAGAAAAATCAAGTCTTAAAACCTGGTGACAAACCTGATATAATAAAGAAACTAGAATGTGGCACAAGTAAAAGTGTGTTAATAACAATACCATAACATTGGATCATCAATATTCTATATTAACCCGTAAACAGTCCAAGCAGATCTACGTTCACATGCGTAGCGCTCCAAAAATAGATCTACGTTTTTTTACATATTTTCAAATTAAAAAAAAGAAAAAAAGTAGATCAAAGTTTTTTTTACACGTTTTCAAATGTAAAAAAAAAAAAAAATTACTTTTTTACATACTATCAAATGTTGAAAAAATGTATATATACGACTGGACTGTTTACGGGTTAAACAGTTAAAACAAAAACTTTCTAAAAAAAAACAGTGTGTGCCATTATTCAGAAAGTTTGCTGTACTTCAACTACTTCAGAATGATTAGTATGCAACTTTTGGAGCCCCTCGTTTGATAAACTGTAGTTGCAATTCCATGCACATACCTAATTACAAGCATTGCTTAAAGCAAACATATCTTTGTAAAACTCGACAATGTACACCTTCATTTTTTTAAATGAAATTCATTTTTATTTTCAGAGCTCTCAAACGAGCTATCACAAATCATAGCAGCAAACTTCAAAATCGTGCGAAATCCATTTTCTTTCAACGTGTTCTCTATGAACATCAAAATGGTATACAATACCGACAGGTTGTTAGGTAAGACACATATGCAACAGTTAGACAACTTTATTCCGAAACGTTTCGCCTACACAGTAGGCTTCTTCAGTCGAATACAGAAAATAGGCAGGAAGAGTAGAGATGTGAAGACGATGTAATCAGTCCATCACCCTTGTAGTCGTAGAATTTGAGGTTGTCAGTCCCTCGGCCTGGAGAAGTTCAGTTCCATAGTCAGGAACTATCTGAAGATGTTCATCTTGTCAGACACTGCAACACGTGGCATCTTGGTACAGAAAACACCTTTGACAAGCTTTTCAAGTGAGAAGTGTTGGATCTGAGAGGGACATGACCTATCAGTGGTTACATTCTCACTACTACTACTACTACTACTACTACTACTACTACTACTACTCTGCACCTCTCCTTCCGACAGTATTTAAGTCTCCACACTGTCGCTTGATCTTCAGACAGTTCCTGACTATGGAACTGAACTTCTCCAGGCCGAGGGACTGACAACCTCAAATTCTACGACTACAAGGGTGATGGACTGATTACATCGTCTTCACATCTCTACTCTTCCTGCCTATTTTCTGTATTCGACTGAAGAAGCCTACTGTGTAGGCGAAACGTTTCGGAATAAAGTTGTCTAACTGTTGCATATGTGTCTTACCTAACAACCTGTCGGTATTGTATACCATTTTGATGTTCATCTTGTCAGACACTGCAACACGTGGCATCTTGGTACAGAAAACACCTTTGACAAAAGCTTTTGAAGTGAGAAGTGTTGGATCTGAGAGGGACATGACCTATCAGTGGTTACATTCTCACTACTACTACTACTACTACTACTACTACTCTGCACCTCTCCTTCCGACAGTATTTAAGTCTCCACACTGTCGCTTGATCTTCAGATAGTTCCTGACTATGGAACTGAACTTCTCCAGGCCGAGGGACTGACAACCTCAAATTCTACGACTACAAGGGTGATGGACTGATTACATCGTCTTCACATCTCTACTCTTCCTGCCTATTTTCTGTATTCGACTGAAGAAGCCTACTGTGTAGGCGAAACGTTTCGGAATAAAGTTGTCTAACTGTTGCATATGTGTCTTACCTAACAACCTGTCGGTATTGTATACCATTTTGATGTTCATCTTGTCAGACACTGCAACACGTGGCATCTTGGTACAGAAAACACCTTGACAAGCTTTTCAAGTGAGAAGTGTTGGATCTGAGAGGGACATGACCTATCAGTGGTTACATTCTCACTACTACTACTACTACTACTACTACTACTACTACTCTGCACCTCTCCTTCCGACAGTATTTAAGTCTCCACACTGTCGCTTGATCTTCAGATAGTTCCTGACTATGGAACTGAACTTCTCCAGGCCGAGGGACTGACAACCTCAAATTCTACGACTACAAGGGTGATGGACTGATTACATCGTCTTCACATCTCTACTCTTCCTGCCTATTTTCTGTATTCGACTGAAGAAGCCTACTGTGTAGGCGAAACGTTTCGGAATAAAGTTGTCTAACTGTTGCATATGTGTGTTCTCTATGGCCAACAGAACAAAACAGAGGGGGCTGGATATGAAGAAGGTAAGTCATTTTTGCCTTCATCAAAAATAAATGTGCCATATTCTAAGGGAGGTAAAGGATAATGTCACCTGTCATTATCTGATTTTTTATGCCAATCAAATATCAGATAATGACAGGTGATAGGCATGGCGTCCCTGGGAATGGCACTTAATATCAGGCCTGGGTCTGTGCCTTTCTTACAGTACACACAGTACAGTACACACTTGAAATGCTCATGCATGTTAATGACTTTGTGCTTGACAATATTTCACTACATGTAAAGAACACATATAATACGGAAAGAAATAATTTTTTTAACCCTTTAAGGGTCCCCAGGCCCTCTCCGAGACTTGTTCTCAGGCTCGCCAAATTTAAAAAAAACAAAAAAATTATTTTTTCTCATGAAAAGATAGAGAATCTTTTCCCGATCATAATGACACCAAAAGTATGAAATTTGATGGAAAACTTACGGAATTATGCTTTCGCGAAGTTAGTGGTCTCGACGATGTTTACGCATCGGCGATTTTGCCTATAAATGTATTAATTCAAGGATTATGTGGAGTAAAATAAAGGTTGGATGTGAAAAGTGGGTTATAGTAAGCGTATATGCACCTGGAGAAGAGAGAAGTGTAGAGGAGAGAGAGAGATATTTTGGGAAATGTTGAGTGAAAGCGTAGGGAGTTTTGAACCAAGTGTGAGAGTACTTGGGGTTGGGGATTTCAATGCTAAAGTGGGTAAAAATGTTGTGGAGAGAGTAGTAGGTAAATTTGGGGTGCCAGGGGTACATGTAAATGGGAAGCCTTTAATTGAGCTATGTGTAGAAAGAGATTTGGTAATAAGTAATACATATTTTATGAAAAGAGGATAAATATACAAGGTATGATGTAGCACATAATGAAAGTAGTTTGTTAGATTATGTATTGGTGGATAAAAGGTTGATGGGTAGGCTCCAGGATGTACATGTTTAAAGAGGGGCAACTGATATATCAAGATCATTATTTAGTTGTAGCTACAGTTAGAGTAAGAGGTAGATGGGACAAGAGGACGGTGGCAACAAGTAGGAGGGAAGTGAAAGTGTATAAACTAAGGGAGGAGGAAGTTCGGGTGAGATATAAGCGACTATTGGCAGAAAGGTGGGCTAGTGCAAAGATGAGTAGTGGGGGGGTTGAAGAGGGTTGGATGAGTTTTAAAAATGCAGTATTAAAATGTGGGGCAGAAGTTAATATTTTATCATGGTAAAGTAATCAACTTCAGTATGCCTCAAATTGATATTACTTTCATGTCTGTTAAGATGTTACTAAATTAATTATCACTTTCAGTAAAACAAAAACACTAAAATAGTCTAACGGCAATTATCAAAAAGCTTTTCCTTAACGTAAGAAAATAATTATACTTCATGAGTATCTACGTTGAAAAACCCCTTGTAGGTTTAGTGCTTAACTTATTATTATAATAATAATGCACTGAAAAACTTCAGATACAGTGCAGAGTTGACAAGTAAAGAAAAATCTGATAAGATTCCATAGGAAAATATATTAATTGGGGAAATGCTAAACTCAGTGGTCATACAGCACATGGGGAATGGGAGGCAACCAGATTCAATCAAAGGAAGGGAAGGATTGATTCACTTGGATCAAGAACTCCCTGGCAACAAGGCACCTCAATTGAGGAGCAGGAGAACTTACTCTTCAAAAACTATATAGAGGTGGAATGTGTAAAATTTTATACCCATAATAACTAACAGGGCATGCAACTTGTTAGGGAATGATGTGATGCTTCAAAATTGTGAATTTAATGTCTGAAAACTGGCAAAAGAAATGAAAGTGAATGAGGGATTGATAGTAAAAGGGATCTGCAGTAAATTCACTGCAGGGCCATTAAAATGGAAGATAAAAATGTGGATTAAAATTTGAAGAGAATTTTACTAAACTACAGGAAAGGAACAACATTCAGTGGGTTAGTTTTTATTAGTATAGAAAACTATGTACATTTAGCAAAGATGGCAGCTAATTTTGTCTATTAAAATAAAAAGTTTGTGCTATAATGTAGTATGTTTATAGTGGATATTTATGTAGAACCTTAGTAATGCTACTCATAATTTACATCCTTCATTGAACTTGTGCATGTACAGTATGAAGTAATGCTGATATATGAACGGCTGTTGGCTCATTACTGGAAACCGGACATCATTATAATTATAATTAAACTGGTGAATTAGGTAACTATCACAGATTTAACAACAAATAGCTAAGAATTCTTTTTATCTATTCTCATTAAATAAGACAAGTCCGGCTACCAGTTAGCTGGACAGGAGTCCTCAAGGTGGGAAATACAGTGCCTGTGCTCTGAAGGAGGGGTAGAGATATACTGCAATGTTGGCACACCTCTAGCAAAACAATGATGGAGTAAATGAAAGTATTTCTTCTTTTTTTTTTTTTTTGGGGTCACCCTGCCTCGGTTGGAAATGGCTGATGCGTTAAAATAACAAAATATTTTATGAAATAGGAGAATTAAAAGTATAAGCACTGTACCTGAAGAAGTGATCATTCAAGTAAAAAAAATTTACTTTAAAACTAAAACAATAAGTGAATATGCTTAAAAATTTTTCCCTTCAAAGCTTTAATATGAATTAAATCTTATTTAATACCAATAAAATTTCTTTAATTTACCAATCATCATCATAATTATTTGCAGCGCTGTATGACCCTTGTCTGTTTAGCACTTTCTTTATGATAATCATAACTATTTTGGCAAACATCTCCTTGGGCCTGAATTTCTAAAAACAAATTCTGACTAACATCATTCTTCTGAAAATACAGCTACCAATACTGTGCTTCAACCTTAAAAAATTAAGATTACAACAGGCACTCTCTCTATGAACCAAATTCTTGTGTGTCGGGTTGGATGAGCTTGAACTCGAATGCTCCTCTGCCATCCATGTGAAGATAATACTGAAAGTGAAGGTTATACACTCATTTAATGTAATTATCTATCGATTTTTAGACACCTATTGCAAATATTTTGTTTGCTACATTCTACTTCTTCAAGGGAGATTAATATTTTAAAGATATACAATTAAAATAATTAACACAAACCTCATGGTGTTTCCACAGACTCTTACGATGCGAAACCGTGAAGAGAGAGATGCCAGCTTGTCGACAGTACTGGTACATGCCATCTTCAACGTCAACACTAACTGCACTGGTGCATTCGTCTAGGATGGCAAACTGAGGCTTGTGGTAGAATAGACGTGCCATCTGCAAAGCAACATCATATCAAAACTGCAATGCTGTAATTATCAATATACAGGTACCATCCGACTTACGACCGAGCTTGGTCCCGACCAATCAGTCGTAAGTCAAAATGGATGTAAGTCGAACCTTACTACTGAATATCAACATCACATTTTTGTAATGACTATTTTGTTGTTGTATTTTGATATTTCATTTTTTACTTTACTTTTTATGCTGTTAGTACTGTATTTTATACTGTAAGGTTTAGGATAAACACTGTACAACAAAAACAGTTGTTTATTTCCCAGAAATTTGGCATAAAAAACACGGTCGTAAGTCGAGTGGTCATATGTCGAGCAGGTCAAAAGTCGGATGGTAGGTGTATTACAATACTGCCTTTACTCAGCTGATGAATAAGTGCAAATATTGTGCAAAGTACAGTACAGTAACTCCCTTATAAAGATCCTCCTACATAGTACGATATTGTGCGGCCAGCAGCAACAGCCTGGTTGATCAAACCCACCACGAGGCCTGGTCTCAGACCGGGCCGTGGGGGCATTGACCCCCAAAACCTTCTCCAGGTATTAAAAAAAAAAAAGTGCATCCAAAATTGAGTGGTACATGGAAAGACCTTAATAGTTAATGCTATTCAATTTTGGATGTAATTTTTCAATTGCACAAAAAATCACATTATACAAGTGCTCCTTGACGTAGTATATTTCAACTTTATGATGATGTAAAAGCAATTATACTCTGGAGATGAACTTGAGATAATTATCCAGCATGAAGGCGGCAAGTCCTTAACTTGTATTCATTTATTTGCAGTAAATATTTGTTTATTTACTTAATCAGCAACAATTTCCAAGACTTCGGTCATCTCCCACCGAGGCAGGGTGACCCAAAAAGAAAAATACTTTCATCACTATTCAACACTTTCACCTCGCTCATACATAATCACTGTCTTTGCAGAGGAGCTCAGATATGAAAGTTTAGAAGTCCCTCCAAACTACCAATACCCAAACCCCTCCTTTAGAGTGGAGGCATTGTACTTCCCATATTTGACTTAATTTTCAACTTACAATGGGTTTATTGGAACTTCAACTCATCGCAGGTTGAGAAGAACTTGTGTTAGCGAACCTAATATCATGAAACCTTCATTCTTATGTCTTAACCAAATTATTTTCATGCTAAAAGACAGGGCCAGGAATAATACCCTGACTCCTACAACCAGGAACAGGTGATAAATTTCCCGATATAAAAAAAAATTAAAGCTTAATACGTATTTATTTGTGGATATTCCACCGTTTTCTTTTTCCCTTGCACATCCTCTTCCTTCCCTCCCTGTCTTAGTTATGACTGATGAACTCACTGCAATCCTTTGTTTTTCTCCTCCAGATAAGACGTCCATCCAATCGGCAATTGCATCCCATCCGCCCTCTCTATCCAGAATGTGTGAGAGCTGAACACGACCAAGAAGCTCTCTCAAGTCATTATCCGTGTACCCACGGCCTATCATATCAGAATATGAATCTGGGTATGTTATCTGTTGAAATAAATAATTGTTTTGTAAACAAAAATCAGTGTAAATAGACAAGAAGTGTCATTTCAGTTTCACCAATTTAACCCATATCTTTTAATATTTTTCTGCTTATATCATAACTGCACTAACCTGATCCCTGAGTGTTCCAAGAGTCATATAGGGTCGCTGTGGAATGTAAAATAGCTTGCCAGCACTAGGTTTAGTCACACAGCCTCCAAACACTGGCCACAACTGCAAATGCATAACAGCATTAGTCTCCCAGTTACAATCAATTTACCACATCTCCATCCTAAAGTTAACCTCCAAAAAATGGAAAGTTTTACCTAGACATGCCTTCTAGTTACCAGAGGTTCCCTGACACCCTCGTGGGATCTTTATATGTACACACTCCTTGAACCCTTTCAAGTTGCTTGCCCATCACCAGTAATATACAGTTGTAAATTTTCACTACAGGCTGTCCATCAATCACCCTCTATGAAAGTCCAAATCATAAATATAATCCTGCATCTTACATTAGTGATTCTCTCTGCCACCTTGCATCTATATACTTCCCATTAGTTATTTCTTCTGTTAATGCCATATGCAGCTCACTTCTGAAATGGTTAATTCCAACAGTGTGAATCAATCTTGTTCCCATAGAGCAACAAAGGACAAGGAAATGTTAGAATTATTTGATCACTTTCAGTCAGGCCTTTCAACCTCCATAAAACTTTCCAGGGATATAATAATTTTATCCTTTGTATTTCCTTGTACCCTTTCCCTCCCTGTACTTGGCAAATGTGCCAAGTATTAATCAAAATACCTGAACTGAGGTGCCATTTCCATTATGTCATCCCATCACCACATTCTGCTGTTGCAAAATGAAAGGATTATAACAAAAATTTCTAAAGCTTTCTGAAACCCATCACTTTCTACATTCACCTTCAAATTTCTTCTATGGCACACTTTGTAAGTCATTCACAATTGTGTAATTAACTCTCATCTTTACCAGATTAAAAGATGTTCTCACCTCTCCAAGAATCCTGAAGAGAGAAGACTTGCCACAACCATTGGGGCCACAGACAAGGACATTCATGCCAGATTTGACCTCAAAATTTAGCTCCTTAACCAAGACATCTCCATTAGGAGTTATCAGTGGAACATTTTCAAAGCGAATTACATTATCTTCAGTGATGACTTTTCCCGTGCCAGGAATAAGAGGTCTACCCAATATACCTGGAAGAAATATATACTGTATACATTTGTGTGATTTTTTAAATATTATAAAGGCATGAATCTAACAAACATCTTAGAGAAATTGAATGAAGTGAATACTAACAATATACAGTACTATTATTAACTCTGCAAGTTTTTTTTTTTTAGAAAAACTATTCATCTAACTTGTAGACAAAGCTAAAACTGTGACAATTTCTGTAAGATTTTTTTTTAACACTTTTATGCTACCAAGAGCCTCAGTCATCAAGGCACCTCCACTGAGAGAAAATCAAAAAGAAAAGACTAATTTAATCAAATCACAATTTCATAATTCTTCCAGTTCCTTATTTTGACATTTTAAACCATTACTCACCATTAGAGGCTTTGCTCTGCAACATTGTTCGTTTATATGTTCCAGTATTTAAATCTTTAAGAACAGTCAAGAGTTCTTGAACACGAGCTGTAAAGCCAGCTAATCTCGTCATTTCTCGGCCAGCTAGCACTAACCGCCCTATTGCCTCCGCCAATTTCACAAGCATTCGTCCACTCGTATAGTAGTCCTGAAATATAAATAACAAATATTAAAAAAAGTAACTCTGATAGAGACCACTGCTCTCTTACAAGTAACTTAACCTGATTCTTGCCTTTCCAAAAACCAAGAGAAAATGTTGAAAAATTAGTATAAGTGGAAAATATTTGTCCTAATTGAATTAAATTCTAAGTAAAAGATGTATGGAAACAGGAAAGAACCTATAGATTGGCAGAGAGCATGCAAAGCTCCTTTATATAAGGAAAAAATGGGACAAGAGAGTAAAAGAATTATTGGGGATTAAACCTACTGAGTACTGTATATCAAGTAAAGGGTATGATAGAATTATTACTGAGAGGTAAGACAGTAGGATTATAGAGGAACAAGGATTCAGGAAAGATAAGGGGATGTGCAGACCATGTGAATACACCGAATCATATAGGTGAACAAAACTCAAATAAAGGTAAGGAACTCTTTTGTTGTATTTAAATATTTAGAAAAGGCATATGATAGGTTGGACAGAGCAGCAATTTCTCAGATGTTGCAAATGTATGCAATAGATGGTAGGTTAATAACAGCAGTAAAGAACATTCATGCTGACAGTGGGTGATAGAGGGTGATTATTCTCCAGTAAAAGCAGGCCTTGACAGTGATGGGTTTAGTAAACATGGTTGTTTTGAGATAAGGTTGCATGAGAAGTGAATGCTGGGGTGTTGGGGAGAGGTTTAAGATTAAAGAGAGGCATAATGGATCTAGTACAAAGCTGGAGTTGTCACAGTTGTTCTTTGCCGACGACAGGTCTTTTGAGAGATTCTGAAGGGAAGTTGTAAAGGCTACTGGATCAATATAGGAGGGTGGGTAAAAGGAAATTATAACAAACTATGCAAAAGCAAGGTGATGAGAGTAACAAATATTGCGCCTTTTTTTTGTTATTTACAAGGTTAAATGCTCCTCTCCACATACTCTATTTTCATATATCATTTCTACCTTGTGAAATCTTCTTATATGCTTTCTTTCTCTTTTTCCACCCTCTTAGCTACATCAATCCATCAAATATTTCACTTGCTACCTGTACGTGCCCTCTTATACCCACAAACTTCTACTGCACACTCTAGTATCACATTCTTAAATTCTTTTTCCACAGATGATCCTTTAATATTACCAATACTTCTTTAGCTCTGTTCCTTTCAGATACATACATATCGACATTGCAAGACAAGCCATAGGAGATGGAAATCTACAGCTCAAGATCTTTTACATGTCTCCATATGTCATCAGGAACTATGCAATGTTGTAAGAGCAGCATGAGGTGGAACAAGGGAAAGTTTCCTCTGAGTAAGGTAGCATGGTGTTACCAGCCAGTGGCTGGCATCGTTGCAACATTACATAACTTCTGATGATGCATGGAGACATGTGAAAGATCTTGAGCTGAAGATTTCCATCCTCCATGGCTTATCATGCATTGTTAAGATTGCCTGTCTGCAACTATATTACATACTGATATATTAAGATATTATACTTTACCTGCATTCGAGTTTTGTAATCACCACTTGCCAATTTAGTTGGTGTGAGATATGGGTAAGCTACCACAGTAAATCCAACACATGTAGCGAGATCTACAAAGAAATACAGTAAGTGAATTATTAAGAGAAGTCACTTTGCTCTACAAAACAAAAATACTGAAATATAACACAATGCTACAGTAGAGCATACAAAATCTGAAGATCAAAACTGAAGAAACAAATAGATGTCTTGGAAAATAGTAGTTTTATGTAGCATACTAGTTGGTTTTAGCTGTTCATAGAAGAATTATTTTACCACAGAGGTAGCAAAGAGTCTTCCTATTAGCTTCTACTTTTCCCATTTCATCTCTTTTTGTCTAAGGAATATATTTGTTGAGACAACCCTAAAACTTTAGTAAATGACAACCATTTTACCTAGGTGTCATTCATAGAAAAATGACAAATTAATCAATCAACATTCTGAGGCAGCAAATTATCTAGAAAATATCTATTCAAAAGTCTTTAACACAACCTCTCACTTCACACTATTTTTTTGTATTTACCATCAATTTTTGTCAGAGAATGATTATTTCTATTAAATTAAAAGGGAAAGTGCTAAACCCACTGGGATTATGCAACACTTGGGAAATAGGTAGTAGTCAAGGTTGATCCAAGGAAGGGGCAGGTAGCTTCAATTCCAATCAGAAGTCCTTCACCAGCATCAAGGCACTTCCCACCTTCCTTGAAGGATCGAAGGCAAGGAGCCACATAATTACTCACACTTTGCAATGATGTTGTCTATAAAGCCCATGTTGAACCGGAAGAAGATGAAACTACGCAGGTGATTCACCTGTGGATACACATATCAAACAGTAACCAAATCAGTAACTTTCACAAAATTTTCTGTTACATTAATGTTTTGTCGAAAATCAGCAAGGTCAAAATCTCCCATCACAGTTGTCAAGACAATTTTTTGGATAACAAAGCTTAATTTCCAAAATAAATATCAGTCCCTATCAATTCAGATAATAATTTCTGAAATCGCCCCCAAGAATTGTATGACATCTAAACATGAGGTTTTAGCTGTTGTTGCTCTATAACAACAACTGAAAAATGCCTGGTTTTCATTATAATGTTACACATGCGGTTTTCTCCTTTCAAGGGCAAAATGCCTATCCAGAAAATAAATATCTTGTAGTTTAGAATCTGCTCTTTCTAATGAAGGTTTAATTAAGAAAATTAGTTGTGCTGCTTTTTTTGCTATTGGTCTTCAAAAATGTTCTAAAATTCACCATGAGGTCTGTGAGGGCATTTTTAGGTACCATTAGCACAGGAACTAAAAACATTTGGAGTTTAATACTTTAAGATTGTGATGATGTCCACTTGGGTAGCTGGCTACAATAATGTCGTACTAAAATAATGTTTTCCTGAATTCAAGATTCAATTTCATGCAACAGATTTTTATTTTTGCCTACTTTGGCTTCATATTGTGAAAAAAGAAAACTTTTTTTTTTTAACAAGTTGGCCGTCTCCCACTGAGGCAGGGTGACCCAAAAAGAAAGAAAATCCCCAAAAAGAAAATACTTTCATCATCATTCAACACTTTCACCTCACTCACACATAATCACTGTTTTTGCAGAGGTGCTCAGAACACAACAGTTTAGAAGCATATATGTATAAAGATACACAAAATATATCCCTCCAAACCGCTAATATCCCGAACCCCTCCTTTAGAGTGTAGGCATTGTACTTCCTATTTCCAGGACTCAAGTCCGGCTATATAAAAATAATCGGTTTCCCTGAATCCCTTCACTAAATATTACCCTGCTCACACTCCAACAGATCGCCAGGTCCCAAATACCATTCGTCTCCATTCACTCCTATCGAACACGCTCATGCACGCCTGCTGAAAGTCCAAGCCCCTCGCCCACAAAACCTCTCTTACCCCTTCCTTCCAACCTTTTCGAGGACGACCCCTACCCCGCCTTCCTTTCCCTACAGATTTATACGCTTTCCATGTCATTCTACTTTGATCCATTCTCCCTAAATGACCAAACCACCTCAACAACCCCTCTTCAGCCTTCTGACTAATACAGTGGACCCCCGCATAACGATTACCTCCGAATGCGACCAATTATGTAAGTGTATTTATGTAAGTGCGTTTGTACGTGTATGTTTGGGGGTCTGAAATGGACTAATCTACTTCACAATATTTCTTATGGGAACAAATTCGGTCAGTACTGGCACCTGAACATACTTCTGGAGTGAAAAAATATCGTTAACCGGGGGTCCACTGTACTTTTATTAACTCCACACCTCCTAATAATTTCAACACTGAATTTTCTGCATAATATTATAATATTTACACCACACATTGCCCTTAGACAGGACATCTCCACTGCCTCCAACCACCTCCTTGCTGCTGCATTCACAACCCAAGCTTCACACCCATATAAGAGTGTTGGTACTACTACACTTTCATACATTCCCTTCTTTGCCTCCATAGATAGCATTTTTGTCTCCACATATACCTCAATGCACCACTCACCTTTTTTCCCTCATCAATTCTATGATTAACCTCATCCTTCATAAATCCATCCACCGACACACCAACTCCCAAGTATCTGAAAACATTCACTTCTTCCATACTCCTCCTCCCCAATTTAATATCCAATTTTTCTTTATCTAAATCATTTGATACCCTTATAACCTTACTCTTTTCTATGTTCACTTTCAACGATAATATATATATGTAGAAGGTACTTGAGGGCCTAGTCCTAAATCTGTACACTGCTATAACATACTGGAGCAAAAGATATGAAAAAGAATGCCAAGTAGGGGTACTGTGGGAACACTAAAAGAACAACATTGTGAACACAAAGATTTTTTTTTTTTTTTCAACAAGTCGGCCGTCTCCCACCGAGGCAGGGTGACCCCCCAAAAAAAAAGAAAGAAAATCCCCAAAAAGAACATTCAACACTTTCACCACACTCGCACATTATCACTGTTTTTGCAGAGGTGCTCAGAATACAACAGTTTAGAAGCATACACATATAAAGATACACAACATATCCCTCAGGAAATAATATGCAACTTACAAGTCGGTTGAATGAAGAATCAATATTCTTCTTTTCTCGTTTGTTTCCCTGGTAAAATGCAACTTCCTCGGAATTGGTGATGAGTCGTGAATTGACGAATCTAAACTCTCCTTCAAGTCGCTGCTCTGTCACTGTTAGCCGGCTAATGGGACGACGCAAGCGAGTGAGGAGACTTCCAGACAGAATGAGATACATGATCATCACACCAGGTGCCTATATTGGTAATGAATTAAGAAAGTGTGCAAGGCATTAGCAATACATACTATAGGGCACAATGTATATAATTATATATAGTTACGTTTTTAGAACAGTATATACATTATAACTTTAAATTACATGATGAAATATTGTACTACTAAATTTTTTTTTCAACAAGTCGGCCATCTCCCACCTAGGCAGGGTGACCCAAAAAGAACGAAAATTCACAAAATGAAAATACTTACATCATCATTCAACACTTTCACCTCACTCATGCATAATCACTGTTTTTGCAGAGGTGCCCAGATACAACAGTTTAGAAGCATATATAAAGATACAATATAAAACGTGACCTGAAATAAAAAGTGTGGCCTAACCTAACTTAATAATTCCCAATCAAATCATTCATACACACTTTTTTTTAAGCAAGCTTTCAGTATCATTTTCATTTACATGCATATAAAAGCAAATAATTCAACAATTAAGTATATAATGTAGGGTTTTTATAAATAATTACCTACATGAAATATACACAAGCAAACGTTATCTTCAGTATAAAGAAACTTCAATATAGAGGGAATCTTATTAACCCTTTGACTGTTTTCGACGTATAAATACGTCTTACGAGCCAATGTTTCTGACGTATATATACTCAATAATTCTAGCGGCTTCAAATCAAGTGGGAGAAAGCTGGTAGGCCCACATGTGAGAGAATGGGTCTGTGTGGTCAGTGTGCACCACATAAAAAAAATCCTGCAGCACACATTGCGTAATGAGAAAAAAAAAACTCTGATCGTTTTTTTGGAATAAAACGCGACTTTGAGGTGTATTTTCGTATAGTATTTATCGTTGTATTCGCGTTTTCATGGTCTTAGGTGATAAAATGGAAAACATATTACATAAATAGAGATGATTTTCATTACTTTTACGATGAAAACGACCTTGAAACTGAGCTCAAAGTAGCGGAAATGTTCGATTTTTACCAATGTTCAAGAGTAAATAAATCACACCACACGTCCAATACACGTCAACTGGGGAGTCTAATATTCTTTCACTAGTGCACTGATATTATTTATACCATTTTTACAATAATGCAGTCGTCTGCATAACAGTAAATTTTGTATTTTTTTGCATGAATAAAAAATCAAAATAGAAAGCAATAATAATATAAGAGGGGCCTAGAGATGTGACTAATGAACAGAGCATATGTTATTTTAGTGCCACGAATGTCTACCTTGTTTATTCTGGACCCTATTTTGAAATTGGCATCTTTTTTATTTTGCGTGAAATTGGCCAAATTGCCAATTTCTGACCACCATATTGGGTAGTCCAAATTAGTAAATGGGAGGTTTCTTGTACTCAGCTGATAGATAAAATGGAGTTCTAAAGAAATAGCTATGAGTTTGGTCCACTGGAACAATGGAATTGGCTGAAAATAGGGCTCAAAGTCGGCGAAATCGCCGATACGCATATGTCGCCGAGACCGCTAACTTCGCGGGAGCATAATTCCACGAGTTTTCGACCAAATTTCGAACTTTTGGTGTCATTACCATCGGGAAAAGATTCTCTATCATTTCATAAGAAAAATAATTTTTTTTTTTTTCAAAAATTGAGCGACATAGAATGACAGTTTCAGAGAGGGGCCTGAAACAGTCAAAGGGTTAAATTCATTATATGTATAATGTATAACAATTCACTGTGTGTGTTCCAACTTACCTGACCACCAATGGCCTGGGTCAGTTTCTGCACATATATGAGAATATCAAGAATTGGTTTGCTGATGTTGGAATAGAGTTCTACTACAGAGTCACAGAACTTCTCAACGTCCTGCGTCAATAGCTGATCTGCATTACTGATTCTGTTATCTAGGTTATTCATTTTGTAATATGTGAAGCCCCTGTAGGAAAAAAATACACTGTAAAAGAATAAAAAATAAATTTCTAAGGACAGATAACAAAACATGAGCTACCATGAAACAGTGGGATTTTTTTATTTTACATGCTGGTCGTCTCTCGCCGAGGCAGGGTGACCTGAAAAAGAAACACTTTCACCATCATTTACACTATCACCATTTTGCCAGAGGAAAACCTTAATTAACTCTGGTTCTTGTAATACAAAATTACTCAAGCAAACCACAGGATGTTTACACTAATGCAGTTTAGCCATAGGACAAGCAGCAATAGTACACATACGCTGAAGTTAAAGTAACCATTAAATACCTGCAAGTATCCCAATATTCCAAGACACAGCACAGAAGAAATACTGGGTGGCATATTACTGTGAATCAAAAGATGACTATTTCATGTAGGGCAGTTCAACTTTTTCTCTACTTCTACATCATTGTTTAAGGGGTTGCATCAGCTGTAAAACAAAACGTCTTGGTTTTTTTCTGATTTTCCCAATGTTGTGTTTACACTTTAAACTACCATTAAACCTCAGGCATTTAACACCGTCCTTCAAGCTGTGACATTTAAATATGAAATATAATATTTTCCTATTATTATTCTTTCGTCACTATTGAGGAAAATCCATTTTCTTTACATATTTCATTTTCATATTTCATTTTTGATTTAGATAAAGAAAAATTGGATATCACATTGGAGAGAGGGAGTATGGAAGAAGTGAATGTTTTCAGATATTTGGGAGTTGACTGGTCAGCGGATGGTTTTATGAAGGATGAGGTTAACCACAGAATTGATATAGGAAAAAAGGTGAGTGGTGCATTGAGGTATCTGTGGAGACAAAAAAACGTTATCTATGGAGGCAAAGAAGGGAATGTACGAAGGTATGGTGATACCAACACTGTTATATGGGTGTGAAGCTTGGGTTGCAAATGCTGTAGCGAGGAGGCAGCTGGATACAGTGGAGACATCCTCTCTAAGGGCAACGTGTGGTATAAATATTATGCAGAGAATTCGGAGTGTGGAAATTAGGTGGTGGTGTGGAATTACTGAAAGTATTAATCAGAGGGCTGAAGAGGGGTTGTTGAGGTGGTTTGGTCATTTAGAGAGAATGGATCAAAGTAGAATGACTTGGAGTGCATATAAATCTGTAGGGGAAGGAAGGCAGGGTAGGGGCCATCCTTGAAAAGGTTGGGAGGGAGGGGGTAAAGGAGGTTTTGTGGGCAAGGAGCTTGGACTTCCATCAAGCATGTGTCTGTTGGAGTGTGAGCAGGGTAATATTTAGTGAAGGGATTCAGGGAAACTGGTTATTTTCATACAGCCGGACTTGAGTACTAGAAATGGGAAGTACATACAATGCTTGCACTATATTGGCAGTTTGGAGGGGTATGTTATATATCTTTATATATGCTTCTCAACTGTTGTATCTGGGTACCTCTGCAATGACACTGATCACGTGTGAGTGAGATGAAAGTGTTGAATGATGATGCAAGTATTTTCTTTTTGGGGAATTTCTTTCTTTTTGGGTCACCCTGTCTCTGTGGGAGACAGCCGACTTGTTGAAAAAAAAAAAATAATAATTTCCTCCTCTGATTATTTCACATGATGGTAGGATTGCTGGTATCTTTTTTCTGTCTCATAAACATGCAAGATTTCAGGTATGTCTTGCCACCTCTACTTACACTTAGGTCACACTACACATGCATGTACAAACATATATATACACACACCCCTCTGGGTTTTCTTCTATTCTGTTACTAGTTCTTGTTCTTGTTTATTTCCTCTTATCTCCATGGGGAAGTGGAACAGAATTCTTCCTCCGTAAGCCATGTGTGTCATAAGAGGCGACTGAAATGCAGGGAGCAAAGGGCTAGTAACCCCTTCTCCTGTATACATTACTAAATTTAAAGAGAGACTTTTGCTTTTCATTTTGGGTCACCCTGCCTCGGTGGGATACAGCCCGTGCATTGTAAGAAAGAAGAAAAATTTATAAAAATATTATGCAGACTATTATGGAAGAATTTTATATGAAAGTGAAAATGAAAGAAAGTAATGATATGACAAATCACACTTGAAAATGCAGTGACATAAATTGAAAAACAATTGCTTATGGTAAGAGAAGCTTCTTGTCCGACTCATTTTAAGCTGAGGAAAAGAACGAACTGAAAAGAAATCCACGCCCCACCAAAAAACAATGTTTCAGATAAATAAAATGCAGGCCTACATCTCAGAAGCATAACATGTGGGAAGAGCTTAGCACTTACTTCAGATAGCTATCATACAGGTGATTAGACAGTCTAGTTCTGAAACGCAGTTTCATTTCAAAGAGACCATACTTCAGAACATTATTTATGAGTGAAATCTGCAAAATACATGGTAAATGCATATTAATACATGATGCTGTTCATTATAATGGTGCTTGGACATGACTTAAATATTTTGCAGTGCAGTAATGCCCTATAATATATTTATAGATGGGGCTGTAAAAGAAGTGAATGCTAGGGTGCTGGGTAGAGGTGTGGGTTCAAAATAAGTGGAATATAATACAAAATTTCTTTTAAAAAAAATATAGATGGATGTCTGTGAGAAAATAGGTTCCAGGCTCCAAATACCTAAGTAGAAACTTATTTTTTTTTTTGTATGAATGTTATAAATTAAGGCCCTACATCAATACATTTTTAAAGACAAGAGAAATGAATGATCTTATAGGTCAAAATGTTCAGAAAATATTAGAACTACCTTGATGTCAGGCTTAATAAAAGACATTTATATCTGAGATAAAGTGTTTCCTAATCAAAACAAATTATACTCCATAAATTTCTTTAATAATTTTAGTTTAATAAAGTTTGTGATTTTTTTACTGTATTTTAAGATACAATATATGAATGTAATATTCTTCTATACTTACAGCTGGCATAGCAAGAACAAGCTCAACTAGGTGCCGGAGGAAGTGGTTCAAGTCCTTTGAGATAATTGCACTGTAAAGCAAATGAGAAGAAATTAAGTTTCCTGTTTATTAAAATAGCTTACTCATTAAATTAGGAACACTATTTATACTCCTAATCATGGATGTAAAATATTTTGAAAATAAAGACTGCACAATTATATTATACAAAAAAAAAATATTCTTAAAGCCTGAGGAAGAGTAGCAAAGATGTCAACAACAATTAAAAATAAAATTTTTCAAGGAACCCACCTCTCAATGAGTGTGCCATTATGTATCATCCATATGTCACACATGCTTCGAACAACAAGCGTAGCAGCAACAAGAATTAAAAAGCCTGATTCAGCAGTCCAAAATCCAGGCACTAAAATACGCAAAATGCCCCTGAGAGATTTGAAAAACTCTCTGTTGACCTGCAAATATTACTTTAATTAACTTTTTGTACAATTACCAGAAATCGCATTAAAGAAATAGAAACCTTTATATAACAATGGCCAACTTTCATACAAAATAGCACTTCCAGATATGCAGAAGGGTAAGTGTTAAGAAAAAAAAAAAGCAGTTTGCTACATAAGTTAGACCAAAACTGAAATACTGTGTGGTGTCACATTAAAAAAAAAAAAGTCTAAAGACAAGCTACAAAATTGCTCCCATAACTAAAAAATATGATTAGTGAAGAAAGCCTGAAAACAACATATATGCCATTATTAATTGATAGGAAATGAAAAGAAGACATGATAACCACATTCAGAATTGATAAGGAAGGTTTTCTAGCCCCATCACCTGACAGAACAAGAAAGCAGAAGTTTTTTTTTTTTTTTTCAACAAGTCGGCCGTCTCCCACCGAGGCAGGTGAAATTTTTTCTAAGAAATGCTGTAAGTTATTGCTACTTACATGTACTCGTCTTTTATCACCAGAACTGCCAGACTCGTTGACCACAAATTTCACTTCATCTTTTATTTGCTTTCTGAAAGACATTACAATAATTAATGTGAGAGCACTAAAAACTCTTACTTACTAGCTTTTATATAACAAAAACCTTTTGGGGGGTTAAGCACAGAAGGTAGGATAGAGTAAGAAAAATAGTTTTTATGAGAGGAACGTCACGAGGGGCAGAGAAATAGCTAAGGCTTATTCCAGCTGCTGGGCAATTTGGGGTTCATATGTTATAACTTACAGATACAGCATACCATGACTTGGCCTGGGCAGGCAGCAATGATCGAGACAGAAAAATGGCATCATTTGCTCATAAATGCGCAACACTCACATTATGGTATCTAATTTTACAGCAATCTAAGGTGAAAAAAAGGTGACAAAAAACAGATCTTTTCTCATGGTCCAGGCCTGTGAGGACAGGCCAATAGGGGCAATTTCAATGCCTATTTGTAAACAGAGATAGGTGAAAGAGCAAAGAGCTAATAAGAGAGATTGTGGGTGTTATGTGGCCTTCAGATTATCTCATCAAGGTACACTACATAGGATTTGAAGGGTTAGTTAAGTGGTGTATAAATGGAATGATAGGTGACCTTATATAATGGGAAATATGAGTGCACAAAAGAATAAAAGTAGCTGAGGAAATCAATGCTAAAGCAATCCAGCTAACTGAAAAATCAGTGGTTTTCTTTGTTCAGAAAGAAAAAATAAGAAATCAATTGAATTTTTCTTGAGATGTTTAGCACGTTTTATTTCATATCCACATAACAAGGAATGGATCATGATTAAGAGAAACAACACTCTTTGATTCCTACTGTTTTGTAAAGTATATATACAGTATGTGTGCTCTTGTGTGTTTTTCTGTAGCTTTATTCTCTATACTAAATCACATTTTTATATACCAGTAGTTACGAACAGCCATGAAAGATGTTCAAAGAAATATTGGCTATTTATGTACATATTACAGTTCGTAGAGGAAGGATCAAGTGACAAAATATTTTTTTTAATTTAGTCAACAAATCTTATGTATACTGTGAAAAAATATCTACCACTGCAGAGCATTCATAAATTTGCTAAATAATAATGAAATAGAGTTAATAATGATCTAATCTACAAAAATAAATTGCTGTACTATGATAAACAAAACAGACAAAATTTAAGAGTACTGTACATACATATATGTCTACAAAAATTTCAATTGAGGTAAATACAGCATAATAAGCAATGCTACTAACTTAGCTCTTCCACCTTCTCTGGACACACAATATATCCAGTACAGGAATGCTGCTGTGGATGCGGCTCCAAACAATCTTGCATCTCGAGACTGAGATATGGTTGACAGCTTGCTGAGAATAGCCATGTTTTATACTCACTTCCTAAAATAGTTCAAATGATTATTACTAAAAGTTTTGTCTAGAAACATATTTATATTTATACAACAGTTACAACACATAAAAATATAACTAAGATGCAAGTGAAACAAATATAGAAGTAGTTTGCATTTATGTATAGTATACTGAACTACTATAGAGAAAACAAAAGATAAGAGAACACATTTTCATAGGGAAGATGTATGCAGGGTCACTCAAAATAAATCAGGTTTACTCATCTTTTATTTTCACGATGGTAGGTTAATATTTTTTGCAGTCTCACATTTTCAGCAATTCTACACCACATACAGTACTGTATACTGCATGTACCTGTAGCTCAGTGGTCATAGCAGTTGTCTCAGCCAAAAATATCTAAAGTTCAAACCTTGAGAAAGACAAGGCAAATGGGCAATTCTCCTTACACCCACAGTAACTTTTTACTTAGCAATAAATATGTATCCAGGTATTAACTGACTTCTAGGGGGTTTACTTCCTGGGTTGATAAAAGCATGGCTTGGTGGATATTAATACACTAAGGGCTTTTTACCTTCAATGGTATGACCTATACTGGAAAGAATATAGAGTAAGCTGTAACAATATCAACTGATGAGGTATAAAATTTTATTTAATTTTAATATCTCATATTATGCAGTTTAAAGTAAATGTTTTAAACAATATTTACAGTATGTGATACCAAAGATATATATTTTATATGCTCTCATGTTACTGAACTGGTATAAATAAATTACAATACTGGACATCTATAGCTAATATTGAATATACAAGAAGTATACACATATCTACCCTCAGGCTCACAAAAGCAACTGATCAGAATATCACCTGTTTAATGAGAAAGGATATATACAATGAAGTAGACTAGAATAATTATTGTATTACCTAAAATAAACTCATAACTACATGATGTTAAAAGGCAATGAAACAAATAGGCTACACAGATGAGTTTACAAACAATTTTGCAGTAACCGACTATGCCTTATTTATGTAACATTTATATAGTCCTTTAGAATTCCTGAACCCAACACATTAAGCTAAAGACAATTGCATCATGATTAACACTGGAAATATCAGTTGCTTATGAAATCATGTTGTTAATCTTATCTAATCAAGGGAACTAAAAGCAGTTATACAGAATATATTAATAGCAATACAGGTAACACTTCTGAAGATGAGAGTTGAAAGTGTAAGCACTGAAGAATGTGTTAATGAAATACTCAGTTTTGAATACTTGGTAATTACAGTATTATTATATTTAGACGAAAGTGATATATCAGAAGAGCTTAGGCAGTGCCTGCAGAATAGAAAGCAATTAGCATCAATATAAGGAAAGAGAGAATAGGTACAGTCCCTCAGATCAAGAATCCTTTATGTCCATCAACATCAAGGATCCCAATGGAAATAAGTCACTTTATCTGACTTTTTTGGGTTATCCTGGCTAGTCTACACTATGTATGATAATTGTACTCATGTGTATCTGTGCCTAAACAAACTTACTCCCTTACATACACTGCCCTGAGGCAAATATATAAAATACACAGTTAGTTAATGTAATGAAGCCTTGACTGGCATTTCTTTTGATTGTTAGCTAATATTTTTTTTGTACTATAAGGTAAGAATAACTTTTTGGGCTATCCTAGGTAATTTACACATAAATATGTTACTAAGCAATACAGTATAATTATAATCATCCAGAATTGTGTAAAATTGTACCTAACTAAACTTAACTGCTTATTAATGAAGGAACACTGTAATAGTCCCATTGGCCTCTGTTAGGCAGGTCCAGCATATCCCACATGTTCAACTTATAATTAAAGCCACCTACAGTTCTCACCTCAATGGCACTACCTGGGAGTTTGTCTACTCATCTACAACCCTACTGCCAAACTAGTGCTTACCTAAATCCTATGAAAATAATGGTTATGACTTAAAATTAATTCAGTGCGGTACCTTGACAGGAAACAACCATGTTTAATTCCGTTTATTACTTAGGAAAACGAATACAATCACTAAACGAGAAGAAATGAGGGCCTCTGATCATAGTTTCTTCTTACAAAATATCACTTGAAGAGTCAATTACACAAAATACTGTGACAGTATTCAGCTGGCCTGGCACTGCCAATACCAACCACAAGCTTCTACTTTTTATACAACGCCTGTAAAAAAAAACTTGCCTCTTCCAAGATCAGAACTACAAAAAACTAAAAAGTTCATTTAAGAAAAAAAAGGCAAGTTCATATCCGCTTCTCGTTTTCTTTCAGCACTAGTACTTTCATTCGTATATTTAATTAGTATTCATATCAAATACATACAACATTTTAAATACAGCCAGCAGATCTAACACAAAAAAGCTGTAATACATAATGGCAATGTATACGGAAAATAGCATCCAACGCCTGAAACATAATTAAAAAACCAGAAGCCGGGTCAACATTTTAAGAGCCTATCAGACAAGCAAGAGTCCTGTATTAATTCACACGATGACCTAGGAATGCCCTATTTACCTCTTGCTGGCGTGAGGAATGAAAGAAGATTCCGGGAAATGAAGGAATCAGCAGCCTGGGAGATGTTGGCAGGAGTCAGCTGATGCATATAAACACACAACACCTGCCTCAGCCTCACTAAACCTCCTCCACGGTAACCAACACTGGCAAACGCTTCTAGCAAGCACTTTTTGCATCACAAAAAAATCCATACTCCAAGCAAGTTATTTTGTTTACTTGGGACAAAAAGCATTTTGGATACTTTATTTAGACGAGTTTGGTCTAAGTAAATTGTCCAAAGTTCTTTTATGTATTGGTTAAGCAATATGCTGGTGTTTATTTAAGACTTTTTTTTCAGGCTATCCTAGGTAATTTACACATATGTGTGATAATTGTAATCATATGTATGATAATTGTAATCATATGTATAATAATTGTAATCACATAAATTTGTATAATTGTACCAATGTGTACATGTACCTAATTAAACTTACATTTCACTTACTGCCAATTTTTTTTAGGTCATGCAAGCATATTTACAATGATCTTGAGGGCACACTTGTCGTTATGGGTACAAGTTTATAGAACATTATGCATATTTAACTTAAAACAGCCCAATAAAAGCAAAGAATGTGGCTTATTTCCAGTGGAATTTCCTTCAATTGGAAACTCTTGATCCAAGGAATTGGACCTGTCCCCCCTTTTCTGACTGCTTCCTTTCCCCGGCACTGTCTGAACCCTATGAATTTAGCGCTTCCCATAAATATAATAATAATCCATTGTGGTCCTTGTCATATCAGTCTAATTTATCATTGCATTAGTTTATCTTACATAGCCCTTGCTTTATTGCATCTTATAGTGAGAATATAGCCATACAGCGACAATGAATGATAATTTAAACTTAAAATTCCCTAGAAAACCAACACTCATTTCCATTTTAATTCAGAAAATGAAATTCAGCATGAGTTGAAGTATTTAACGTATTGACTTGCATCGCCCGTCGTGTTTGCTGGCTGAACACCACTCAGAAACACTGGTGTATAAAAACGCTGGATTGTGAAGAACAAAATACATGTACACTCTGTGGACGTAATGTTTCTCAAATTAAGATACCCATATGCTGCACAAGCGTCTTATTCTTCAACATGTCAGTATTATATGCCGCTCATCTAATTGTAAGCGCTCAATTGTGTTTGCTGGCTACATACATACATACATCTCAACTGATAACACATCTGGCGAACACTTCTTAACCTACCCAGCAAGTCTAAGGTTATTATATATACACCCACAAAAAAAAAAAAAAAACTTGTAACTAGCTAGGCAAGTTTTTCTATTTAGATTTCATGCATAATTCCGAAACTTTTTGCATTACTATTATTAGCAGTAGCCAGTAGTATATTTAAGGGTGAACGCTAAACCAGTAGGGATCGCAAAATTCGCAGAGGGAAATAAGAAGGCAAAAATGAAAACTTATGTAACCGTATTTATGTGTACCTGAATAAACATACTTGCTAAGGACATTTCTCGTATCAAGAGCCCCCCCCCCCTCGTCTGCATCAAGGAACCTTTCTTCACGGGTGGAAGGAACTTTCACAGTTTTTTAATGTAGTAAATTATCTGAGACTGAAGCTTTGGCCATACAGTGCCATATGGATTACGCTTGCTCTTCATGGTACTCTGCCTTGACAAAAAAAACTGAAAGATAGACTGCAAATCACCCAGAACAAAATCGTAAGATTCATCCTGGGGCTGGGACCAAGAGAACATGTAGGCCAGGATGAATTACAGCAGTTGGATATGCTGAATGTTGAAGACAGAGTAAAACAACTGAAGCTAAATCATGTTTATAAAATTGCTCACAAACAGTGTCCAGAATATCTTGCTGTCAATTTTGTCAAGGCTGGGAACCAAAGCAATCATAGTACTAGGGGGAGAGAACACAACTTTGTAGTACCCACAGTCAGTGGCCAGGCTTCAAACACCTTTTATTGTAAGTAAGTAAGTAAGTAAGTTTATTCAGGTATACACAAATACAGTTACATAGAATTATCATACATAGCAGCATATGTGTAGAGAACCTACAGCAATAAAGGAATGGAACAGACTGCCCGCACATGTCAAAGCCAGTCATAGCATGAACCAGTTCAAGAAGAGTGCCAAAAGGTGTCTGATGAATGTAACTACAGAAAGGGAGGGGAATGATTTTCTATTTTTTAGCTAACATACGTGTAATTTTTACCTTATTCCTAGTAATGACCCTCGTATTGTAGATAGTCTTAATAACCCTCCTGTAGTAGATAGTCTTTTTAGTATGATAATAAGATGTTATCTTCATTGTAGAATAATAAGAAAATATTATAACCTTTATAATATAATAATAAGGTAAAAGGACCCCAATGGAAATAAGTCACTCTGTCTGACTTTTTTGGGTTATCCCAGGTTCTCTACACATATGCTGCTATGTATGATAATTCTTTGTAACTGTATTTGTGTATACCTGAATAAACTTACTTACTCACCTAACTGCGGTTGCAGGGGTCGATTTACAGCTCCTGGCTCCGCCTCTTCTGTGTGTGTGTTTGGGGCACTGCACAACCTGAGAGAGGTGTCTCACGCACCCCATAACCCCAGACAGCCAGCCAGTCAGTCAATTATACTTTCATTGCCTTAAAATAACTACGATCATGGAGGGACTAATGTGGTATTTTCAGAATTCCTTCAATCAGTATTTTTTTTTGAGAGAGAGAGAGAGAGCATTAGAAGTACCGTAGCCATATTTTTTACCTACTGATGTACTTGTTAATTGACTTACGTACTTAATTAATGATTTACTTTTTGGTTTACTGATTTTTTTTTGGTTTAATGACGTACCTACTTAATTACCGATCTACTTTTCGGTTTACTGACTTACTTTTTGGTTTAATGACTTACTTTTTTGGTTTACTTACACTGATTAATTCACTGACTGACTTTTTGGTTTACTGTCATACTGATTTACTGACTTGATGGCTTACTGACTTATTAACTTACTGACTTACTGACTGACTGAACGACTTACCTATTTTTCATTGACTTTTTTTTTTGCGTGTGTGTGGGGGCGGGTATCCTATTTATATTATGTATGATAGTTGTGCTTATGTGTGCCTGTGCCTAATTAAACTTACTTAAACTTTAAAGGAGAAGGCTGGAGAAGAGTTTCCCCTCAAGGAAGGTTCCTTGATGCTGGTGAGGGGCTCTTGATCTAGGGAACTGGATCTGTGCTCCAGTTCCCTGAATTAACCCTGAATACCCTCCATCCCCCACAGTCGCTGTATAATCCTACGGATTTAGCGCTTCTCCTTGATTATAATAGTAATGGAGAGGAGTTTGTCGAGTATATATTATTATAATCAAGGGGAAGCACTAAACCCGTAGGATTATACAGCGCCAGTAGGGGGATGTGGAAGGTATTCAGATTTAATTCAGGAAACTGAAGCACAGATCCAATTCCCTACATCAAGAGCCCCTCTCCAGCATCAAGGAACCTTCCTTGAAGGGTGTCGAGGGTATAGTGAACGTGTGTGTCAGGCAGCAGCAGCAGACAGTAGTAGTAATAAGCAGTAGCAGGCAGCAGAGCAGCAGCAGCAGCAGCAGCAGCAGAGTTCTTCTTGTCTGGCTCTGGGAGGGATGATGGCTGCGTCTTCCAACTCTGGCTGCAGAAAATGTGCATTGTGAGTCTCCATGAGGGGGGTTGTTTGTGCAGGTGTGAGAGGAGATGCTACGTGTGAGGCTGCTGGTCAGTAATGATGGCATGTCATGAGGTGGTACAGGACTCCCTAGTGGAAATAACTCACTGACTTTATTTTTGAGGGGATGGGGTGTTATCCTAGGTAATTTAGTGTGTGTGATAATTGTACTTATGTGTACCTGTGTCTAAAGTTTATTTGCTTATTAATAACTATGGTGTGTTTTGGGGCTTGAGATGAGGTAGTGGTAGTTTTGTGTGGTTTTGAGAGGGGGATTTTAGTAGTAGTATTATTTTTTAGACGTTATTGGCGTTAATCTTTACGTTGACAGACGTAGAGAGGCAATGTTCAAGTTGTTTCGCCTAAAATGAGTCGAAAGCTAGGATTCTAGCAGAGGAAAGCAATTACCCTTTCAGAATCTTGGTTTGATAGTATTTACCTACGTAATTGTTTTTCCTAAGTATCTTTCCTACTGACTTATGACGACGAAGCCATAATATATGGCTGTAAAAAAAAAAGTTTGCAATAAAAGTTGTAGGTAAGTGGGACAGTAGTAACTGCTATGAAAACTGTCATGAGTCATTCCTAGTAGAACTTAATAATAATAATATTTATTTCTACAAGTACATGTACTAGGTATACAGCTGACATCAGTGACATACTATTGTCTAGAAAGCCCCTTGTTATGCAGAGCATTTCAGGCAAATTGGGTCCATTTTGTCCCCAAGATGCAACCCACACCAGTCAACTAACTCCCAGGTACCTATTTTATGGATAGGTGAACATGGACAGCAGGTGCTTTAAGGAAACATATCCTAATGTTTCCACTCATACTGGGATCGACCCCCTGACCTCAGTGTGTGAGCTGAGTGTTTACCTGGAGAGAGTTCCGGGGGTCAACGCCCCTGCGGCCCGGTCTGTGACCAGTCCTCATGGTGGAACAGGGCCTGGTCAACCAGGGTGTTACTGCTGGCTGCACGCAATCCAACATACGAGCCACAGCCCGGCTGGTCAGGTACCGATTTTAGGTGCCTGTCCAGTGCCTGCTTAAAGACAGCCAGGGGTCTATTGGTAATCCCCCTTATGTATGCTGGGAGGCAGTTGAACAGTCTTGGGCCCCTGACATTTATTGTGTTTTCTCTTAGCATGCTAGTGACACCCCTGCTTTTCATTGGAGGGATGTTGCATCGTCTGCCGAGTCTTTTGCTTTTGGAGAGAGTGATTTTCGTGTGCAAGTTTGGTACTAGTCCCTCTAGGATTTTCCAGGTGTATATAATCATGTATCTCTTCCGCCTGCGTTCCAGGGAGTAAAGGTTCAGGAACTTTAAGCGCTTCCAGTAATTGAGGTGTTTTATCTCCGTTATGTGTGTCGTGAAGGTTCTCTGTACGTTTTCTAGGTCAGCAGTTTCACCTGCCTTGAAAGGTGCTGTTAGTGTGCAGCAATATTCCAGCCTAGATAGAACAAGCGACCTGAAGAGTGTCATCATGGGCTTGGCATACAATCCAGCACACCTTAGTGGCTATTTTATCACTTACTGCCCCATAAAAATAAAACAGAGGACCATTAGGGCATCATAGGCCAATAAACAATGAGATCAACTAGGAAATGAATTAAAGAAACTGATAAATAAGCTGCAAAAACTTATATACTGATTAAATCAACATAGTGCATTTTTTATGTACCCGTAACATTTATGTACCATGAAGATCATTGTAAAAAAAATTATACGTTTTGTGCTAAAAGACAAAATATAAACTTGCATAATAAGATGCATGAATCTAAATGGTGTCTTGATTATTTTTTTAGAATCCTTCATTACAATCCTTGATGATATCCTACTAATAAATGACATTAGGATAAAAAAAAAAATAGACCCAAACAGGCAGCAAGCTGCAGCACCTTAAATTTTACAGGGTAAGAAGCAGTGTTGAAACATAGTTCTAATATTAAAGAATAGAGGAACAGTTCTAGAAATCTTTGGCAATAGTTACAACCTTCTTGGTTAGAAGATTTTATTCAGATTATTTATCTGGAGAATTCCCCTCAAGGAAGGTTCCTTGATGTTGGTGAGGGGCTCTTGATTTAGGGAATTGGATCTGTGCTCCAGTTCCCCGAATTAAGCCTGAATGCCTTCCACGTCCCCCCCCAGGCGCTGTATAATCCTCCGGGTTTAGCGCTTCCCCCTTGATAATAATAATAATAATATCTGGAGAATTAGTAACCAAGGATAATTCAAAAAGCCATTGCATCTGACTAGTTTGCATTGAGGTCCTTTAATCATCTTCCCCAATATAAACCGATAACAGTTGGCTAACACACTTGTACCTACTTCTAGGTGAACAAGAGCAGCATGTGTGAGGAAACATGCCCACAGTTTCCACTATTCCTGGGACCTAACTCCAGTCCAACAGTGTGTAAGCTGAAATTGCTACTAATTGAGCAATGAGCATGAGCTCCAGTAGATTGGTTTAACAGTGTTAAATACCAGTAACAAGACATATATGTATGCCACTAAGCATCTAAAGTGACAAACTGTTACAATTCTTATTATAATTGTATCATCAATACAGTAGTTGGTAATCTACCAGGTACATCAAACAATTTCCAGCTGTTAGGTTTATCTTATGATTTTGTACAAAAGGAACCAAGTTGAAACCATTCAAAAAGCACTGGCCCTGATAACATTCCAGCCAAATTTCTAAAAGATGCCTCTGAATTGAAAATACCCCTTGCTCTTGTAATCAGTATATCTATCACCTGTCTCTAGAATCTCATATACATACTGTATTGAACAATAAAGCATATGACCTCTAGATAGCTGACATTTTTTGGATCAGGAAGGTTTTAGGCTCTTAAATTGGACAAAATGGGTTCATAATATTACAGGGTGAAATTGCACAGAGAATGATTAAGATCTTCCCCATCCAGCAGGAGTGAAGCAAGCAGTGTGTAAAATATAACATATAAAGACTGTATGCAGTATTTTTGTTTCAGTTGTCCAAACAACTCGCAGTATTCATGCCCTCGTTGCAATGTCCAGTACTGCTCCTCAAAATGTTACAAGCACCAAAATCACCCACAGTGTTCCGAGAGCTTTTACGAGGATATGATTAAAGAAGAGGTAAAGATGTCCATTTTTTTTTTTTTGCTAGTTAATATGCCTTTTCCAAGGTATTCTTAAAAATTATTGATTATTATACAAATTCAACTCTCTTTGAATAATACACACTGGTGTATTACATTTAAAAATATTTGGAACTAGTGTTTATCCATTACTGTTAGTTATAATTAATGTATGTATTGTGCCAAATGTATATGCATTTTCTGAATGTTTTTTGTGGCATCAGTTTATTTAAATCTTCATGTCTAAATACACCAAAAGCTTTATCATTCTGTTATTCTGGTTTTGATGATTCATCAGTGTTGGTGTAATAAAAAAAATTAAAATTAAGTGGTTTGTCAGAGAGAAAAATGAATTAATGGGACACCTACCTGTATGGCATTACCAGAAATTCATGCATGCTCAAGCCTGCCTGTCATGCTTTGCATAATTATGGGTTTTCTCAATATAGAGAATATAAATTGTTAACCTATCTTTGTAACACTAATGTATCATCTTTGAAGATAAATTAATATTAATAATATACTATTAATGATAATAATAATATATTATTATTTTATTATTACTTATTTTTATTACTCATTATTATTAATATTAATATTTTTACTGTTACTGTTATTACAGTTACTACTATTACTTCTATCCCCACCTAGGCAGGATACTTATAAATGGTTCATTAAGCTGTTTTTTTTTTATTTTATCAGGAGGTTCTCTGTGATAATATGAAGGAGTATCTACAGTAACCTTAAATTTTCAATACCTTACACTGGCTATTTTATACCAAGGCAAGATGAAGTAAAGAAAGAAAACATTATTATTCATTCTTTAGCTGTTTCCAGAATTGCATAGACATTACTATTTAAGTGATTCACCAACCTGTAGCATTACTGTCTATCAAAGTGCAGGAACTGTACTACATGTACTTACCTCCAGAACCCAAGTCTAGTTAACCACTTTCTCCTAAACCTTGTTAACACTCCAACGGTCTATCAAATCCCCCCAAAACACTCGTCTCCACTCCTTCCAGTTTGACCCTCTAACTGTCCAGATGTAGATTAGTTTTTTTTTTTTTTTTTACATTCTTTCTTATAGTGAAAATCTAGGTCGGAGTGCTACGAGCGCAAACGTAGATCTACATTTGGACAGTTTAAGGGTTAACAAGCTTGCATGTACTGTACATACCTACTGGAGGCTCGAGCCTCTATTTCTCATAACCTTCACACTATCCTAAATATTCTTTAGACATTTCATGCATTGTCTTTCATTCACCCCAAATCTTCACTTCATTTTCTTTGCATAATATCAACACGAACTTGAATCGCTGCTTCATCCCCCTGCACAGCAACTTAGTGAGTATGGTTAGGTAGCATGTCTGTTATGATTAGCCGACAGGAGGATCAAACCTCCAACTCTCTGGCACTGAATGACCCCACACATGTTCAGTGTTTCACGAAAATATTAAAAAAAATACCCATGCTTAGGTGTTGGCACCACTCTACTTTGATACTTATTTCCTTCATACATTCATTTATGAACTTTTCTTTCCACAGACTCTAACACATCAGCTACCTTCTTTCTTTCATCTGTTTTATGATTCACATCAGTTTTAATAGTCATCTGCTGACATTTCTCTGCAGAATCTCGCAAAAGCCTTGTGTCATCAGCAAACCGACACATTCCCACATTATATCAGGTGAACTGCTGATTAAGCTAGTACCTCGTCCCAACACAATATTGTCATTAAATTGGCAGTTTAAGAAATTATTTTGTGTACCATATTGTATTGTTAGTACATCACAAATGTTATAGGTCTTCTAGTATTTTTCTGCAATATTTTGTGTTTTGTATGCTTAATAATTTCAAACATCTTTGTTGAATGCATATCCAACAAGTATCTTATTATGACAGCTTCGCAGTGGAACATTGTCAGAAGAATCACGTAAAAAAATGATGAGAATCCTTCATCGAATAAAGGCTGGAGATTCAGTTATGGGTGATGAGGAGGATGAACCTCTTGATTCAGATGATGATGAGGACTTGGCTGCTAGAATGGCAGGTACACATTAATCTCGTTTTTCATGTATTTCTTTGTCACTGGTTAACCAAGCCTTTTGTAAATATGTACAGTGGAACCTCGGTTTTCGTTGAATTCAGTTTTCAACGACTTTTTTCGTCAAAATTTTGTCCCAGTTTTTGTTCATCACCTCAGTTTTCGTAGAGTTGACAGTGGTCCACCATACCAAACGTGTCCGCCCACACCCACACAAAGCATCCCACACGTTCTGAGTCAGTCTGGCTTTGTTACTCATCGGTAGATGGTGGTAGAGAGTGGTAGTGATGGTGATAGAGGGTGGTAGCGATAGTGGTAGAGATAACCTCTCCTCTCTCTCTCCTCTCCTTGCCGTCTTCCATATGGCAACTAGAGTCTTCAATAAAGATAAAAGTGATGTTAAATGTTCATTTATCCATTTCATTAGTCCTTTATATTTATTTCTCATTGTTTTCTGTATGTAAAACTATAGTTATTCTTTATAAAATGTATTTTTTGTTAATACTTTTGATTGTCTGGAATGGATTAATTGGATTTATATAATTTCTTATGGGAAATGTTACTTCAGTTTTCGTCAAATTCGGTTTTCGTCAGACTTTCTAGAACCGAATTAATGGTGAAATCCGAGGTTCCACTGTATTCAACTTTATTTAATCCATTCAAGAAGTATTGTACATTCCATATGCACTTGTCTTGTGTATACATATACATGTACAGTATTCTTATTCACAGTACAGTAATTGCATATCATGTTTGTTTTCTTGTAATGACTAGGTCATTTCTTCAGGACAATTTTGAATACAGCCTCTCCTCACTTAGCGACATACTCGTTTACCGACGACTTGGCCTTATGACAGGCTCTCTGACCACTATGCATACCTAAATAATGTATATTAGTGCTGATTTCCTCTGTTCTGTTTATTACAGTATACAGTACACTGCTGTATAAACATTTAAAAATATACCAGAATGTTATAAATGGTGCAAAGGTGACATTAAAATAGTATCAAAGATGGTTGATGCAAACCCACTACCATTATAGTATGCTCCTCACTTAGCGACGAATTCGTTTACTGACGTGGTCTTAGGAACAGAGTTCCATCATTAAGTGAGCAGAGACTGTATTTTAAGTTGTATGCTATATTGATTTTCAAGGGTTACCAGAAGTATTTAGTATTATAACTTACATTCATGGCAGCTCATTTCTCTCTTAAAGTGAGGAAAGTATTTGGTGATGTAGAACATAAAATCCAACAAATTTATTAGTTAATCTGTCAGAATAACTACTACCACTATTTTTTTTTTTTTAACATCAGCCATCTCCAACTGAGGTAGGGTGACCCAAAAAACAGGAGGAATAAATAACTACCACAATTATTTGTTAAATTTCTTATGCAGTGAGTTTAATAATTTCTTTGAAGGTTATAGTGAGAGTATGAGAAGAATCCCATTCACTATGTGCATGCCTCTCCTAGTAACAATTACTCATAGTGGATTGTACTGCAACAGCCGGAGGTTCCTTTGGGATTGCCATGTCTGTTAAGAGACTAATTTATTGAAAGCTTCTCAAATTGACAGTTTTTTCATATACCACTAGCACTCCAGTGTATTGTTGACTGCACTACTGAGGCTAAAGTTGATATCTTGGCATGTCTGTCTGTCTCTCATTCTCTCTCTCCCTTTTTTTTTTTTTTTTAGGATTGCCTAACCTGACTCAGTAATAATAATAATAATAATAATAATAATAAAATAGTAAAGTAATTTTTTGTGTGAAGAGGGCAATACGCGCATGATAATTTTGTTATGAATTGATGCAAATTTCAATTGAGTAAAAGTATCTAAGTGAAGCCTATATTAATTTACTCATGGTTCTACTACATCACAGTTCTTCAAGTTTCTCTGTCAAAAATAAGTTTTAGAATTTTTGCCTTCAACTCCCATTATCCTACATTCCCTTTTGTCTCTGTATGGTTATAGTTTTGCATTGGTGGGAGACAGCTGCTGTGTTTAAAAAAATAAAAGTGAGGAATTTTCAAATAACATTTAGTGGAATATATTTTACAGTAATATTTTTCAGATGTGGATCTTAATGATAGTGACGCAATATGGAAAAAGCTCACTGAAGAGGAGCGACAAGAGTTTCGTGCGCTCATTGATAAGGGTGGTTTTGAAGACTTGATTCCTCCTTGGATTCCCTGGTGGGATCAACAAATACCAAAAGTGCAAGAGATCAGACCCGGAAGTCAATCTTCTCCAGAATACGCTGTTGGATGTCCTGAGATAATTGAAGTTCCCTTGCTTAGTGAACTGACGGTAAGAATTCACACACTTGATCTTCCAGCCAAATTTTGTATGAATAATTATATAGATGTACTACTTAGGGTTATTGCTGTGGATCTTGGGTAATTCTCTTGAACTGCCAATTGTTAAATAATTTTTTTTTCCCTCAATGCCCATCTCCCACCAAGAAAGGGTGACTTAAAAGAGGAAACACGTCCACCTTTATTTATTCAGTTGCTGTCTTGCTAGAAGTGTGCTGACATCACAGTTCAGATTACCCTGAGCCTGTAATGTTCCCACCTCTCACTGCCCTTTCCACTTTCAGGACTCGAATCTGGCTAACTGGTTTACTGAAAGAACTTGTTCTTTATTCTTTCTTTCAACACACCGGCCGTATTCCACCAAGGCAGGGGGGCACAAAAAGAAAAACGAAATTTTCTCTTTTAAATTTAATAATTTATACGGGAGAAGGGGTTACTAGCCCCTTGCTCCTGGCATTTTAGTCGCCTCTTACAACACCATGGCTTACGGACGAAGAATTCTGTTCCACTTCCCCATGGAGATAAGAGGAAATAAACAAGAACAAGAACTAGAAAGAAAATAGAAGAATACCTAGAGGGGTGTGTATATATATGCTTGTACATGTATGTGTAGTGTGACGTAAGTGCAAGTAGAAGTAGCAAGACATACATACCTAAAATCTTGCATGTTTATGAGACAGACAAAAGACACCAGCAATCCTACTATCATGTAAAACAATTACAGGTTTTCGTTGTACACTCACTTGGCAGGACGGTAGTACCTCCCTGGGCGGTTGCTGTTTACCAACCTACTACCTAGGTTGTTCTTTATTATCTAATTATATTTGAAGCATCTAGAGATTAGTCTTTTGTACTTCATCAACAAAAGTTCTGTCCATTGAAAAGTTTGAATGGCCCAGCAATAAAACGAATAACGAAATTTAGTCTTATTTTATCTTTATTTTAAATTTCTTTATAATATGTCTTTGAATGGTATTCCCATGGCAAGTAAATTATCAGAAAATAAAAAAGGTTTGATTTTAGCCTTTTTGCCTGGTGCATCACCTTTGTTGAGGTCAAAGCCACAGGAATACATGACTGTGACTAGTTCACTTCAAGCAACCACACTATTAATGCTGCCATTTCTTCCTAGTTAGATGCTGGAGTAACTTGAGTTTTGTCTTCAAATTATTCCTCTTCTGGAGACAGAATCTCTTTTGCCAGATATAGTAAGTTGCAAAGAAACTGTATTACCAAATACAGTAGGTTGTTTTCTTGATGCCATAATGGAATTCACCCTTCAATAATACTGAACTGAATCATCACATAAGCAGCTTGTAAAGAAACACTCTTAGATAAACACACAATAGCATATAAACTAAGCATGAAAACATGGAGTGAAGTGGTTACTTTTGCACTGCAATGAAATAATATTGACAAGCTTTTAAGCATGTCAAAAGATTCACTCAGAAATGTTTACATTGGATTTACTATGTATATTCTATCTTGTGCTAGGTAGTAGGTTGGTAGACAGCAGCCGCCCAGGGAGGTACTACCGTCCTGCCAAGTGAATGTAAAATGAAAGCCTGTAGGATGGTAGGATTGCTGGTGTTTTTTCTGTCTCATAAACATGCAAGGTTTCAGGTACCTCTTGCTACTTCTGCTTACACTTAGGTCACACTACACATACATGTACAAGCATATATACACACCCCTCTGGGTTTTCTTCTATTTTCTTACTAGTTCTTGCTCTTGTTTATTTCCTCTTATCTCCATGGGGAAGTGGAACAGAATTCTTCCTCCCTAAGCTATGCGTGTTGTAAGAGGCGACTAAAATGCCAGGAGTAAGGGGCTAGTAACCCCTTCTCTTGTATATATTACTAAATGTGAAAGGAGAAACTTTTGTTTTTCCTTTTGGGCCGCCCTGCCTTGGTGGGATACGGCCGGTGTGTTGAAAGAAAGAAAGATTCTATCTTGTACCTAAAATGTGATACAATACAATTTGGACTAGTCTAGTATATGTTGTCCTCTCAAGGGAGGTTCTTTGATGCTAGTGAAGGGCTCTTGATCTAGGGAATTAGATCTGTGCTTCAGTTTCCTGAATTGAGCCTGAATGCCTGTCATCCCCTCCCCCTACAGGTGCTGTATAATCCCTATGGGTTTAGTGTTCCCCGTAATAATAATAATATGTTGTCAATAAAATAATACTTTCATGTCTCACATTTTTCTTTACAGAAAGTTACACCTTCACCTTGTATTCCATATAACATCTTGAATGTATTGACTGCGTATGCATGGACAGTGCGTCTCTTCAATGGAGACCATCAGGAGAGCAGTTTAGATGCTACCGAAGCTGTGCTTTCATTGTCGGCAGTATTAGCAGCTAATGCAAACTTTCAGGAAGCAGCAATTGCAGTTGAGAGTCCTAAAATGGAAGCACAGAATGTAAGCCAATTTTCATTTTTATTGCTTTAAAAGTAATTGTTCACATTCACCTTAATTTATATTTAAATTTTTTTTACTTTATTTTTTATGTTTTCTCTCACCCCATTGAATATATTGTAGGATTTCTTTGGTTCATAATTAATTTTACTTCCTCAGCTCATCATATCTTGTTACAGACCTTGCCTGTTTATCCTTATGCTTGTCCAAGAACAAGCATGAGGATAAATTATACAGTATTTCTATACTGCTTCAAATAATTTCAGCATCCTTGGTTAATGGAGAGTGAAGAGTTTGCCTGCACTGTTAGGAATGATGTATTGAAGATTCTTCAAGGGCCAGTAGCTAATGACCAAACTTTTTATGTGAGGGCAGCCCTATCTGAAATTCACGTTCTTTTACATACCTCCAAAGCAAATCTTTCAAAGAAGAAAAAACCTGCAGGTGGTGTATCATGCATTTTTATTTTTTATAGATTTAAGTATTCACTATAGTGTAACCTAATTAAGCTGATCCCTAAAGATACATATTTTTTCAATTTGTATTTGTTTTTATTTTTCTGCAAATATAGGAATGAATCCTAGCTAACAATGGACAGTGATCCTGCTCACTCTTATTAGGTTATGTAATGTAAGCTAGTGGTCTTATGTATACATTTGTACATCCCTAGAGCTTAAAACCACAGTAGTTATTCAGTTAATATACTAAGGAGTTACCCATGTATCTAAAAAACTATATAAAAAAGCTAATGTGAAACCAGGTTATGGTGATGGTTATAGAGTCTGAGAAAAGAGAGGCCAGATGATTGTGGGAAAAAAAAATTGCAGAATAATGAAGGTTTACTTTCAAAGAAGCTCTTCAGTTGGCCTCTCATGACATGCATGGCTTACGGAGGAAGAATTCTTGAGTATTTTTTTTTTTTTTTTTTTTTTTTAACAAGTTGGCCATCTCCCACCGAGGCAATATAATCTTATTCTTATATTAATTACAGTACGACTACCTATAACTGTGAGAATATAAACATAAAAGATAGAAAGTTATTACAGAGTACATCTTATTTGCTTGTGAAGAAAGTTTCTCAGACATTTTTCATTTGTCTTACATGTAATGAAAATATATTGTTAGGAACAGCAGCTCAAACTGACTGATATTGACATTGTACTTGTGCTAAGATATACTTATGTTAGATGAAAGAACACAAGTACAACTAATGTGACATTTTATTGTGGCAATGTTTCGCTCTCCAGGAGCTTTATATCTACTACTAAAAGTCGTTATTATACTATGAGGCAATTTATAAAAAAAATTTCAGAATAGGCTTCAAGATTTTTGTATATAAATGTGTACTGGAAATTACTAACATTCAGATGATTAAGATGAATATTTTGGAAAGATTCTCCATGGGGAAGTGGAACAGAATTCTTCCTCAGTAAGTCATGCATGTTGTAAGAGGCGACTAAAATGCCAGAAACAAGAGGCTAGTAACTCCTCCTCCTGTATATATTACTAAATTTAAAGAGAGAAACTTGTTTTTCTTTTTAGGTCACCCTGCCTTGGTGGGATGTGGCTGGTTCGTTGAAAAAAAGATGGAAATGTCATGAAATATACTTTACTGTAATTGCTGTCAGTATAATGCAGTAGTGTGTTTTCTCTGATTTTTTTTTCACCCCCAACGGTCATATTCTGCCAAGGCAGGATGACCCAAAGAAGGAAACACATATACCATTATTCATTCAATAGCTGGCTCACCAGAAGTGTGTTGATATTACAGTTCAGATTACCCTCCATTTTGTTAGCATGTGTTTATCAAAAGTGATATAATATTTTCAAAGTGATTCTTTGTCATGCATCCAGTATTTTAAAAAACTTTTTTTTAAACCACCAGGTGGAAGAAAAGGGCTGTTTACTTACACATTCATGGATTCAAGCAACGATATTGAGCTCAAGATAACAACACTTCCAAATGTCAAGTCAGCTATTAAGAAAGTAGAGTTCTTACTCTCGTTTGTAAAGGAATATTCTGAAGCCCTTCTAAGCATTACACTTCTGTAAGATTAGAAAATGGAACACTTAAGAGTATTGGCATGTTCTTTAAAGTAAAGAATTTTTTTTTATATATAAATATTACTTTAAATAATGAATGCTCTTTAATTTCCTGTTTTATAGATTTTACATGTGATTTATTTATTTGTTGTCTTTTGTCTAAAACTGACACTTTTCTTTCATATTATGATTTACATACAAGATTTACCTGCTTGTTGTACCTTTGTGTTTGTTAACTATATATTTGACACCTTGTTTTCTTGCAGAGAATCTCCTCCAAGCATGTTACTCCATTCTGGTTTTAAGTGAGCACTTAAATTACTTTTAAATAATTCCACTTTCTACTTTAGCAGTCATGTTTATCTTTAAAAAATAAGCAGAAGGCATAAGTACCGTAGAAAGCACAAACAGCACAAGTAGGAAAGTAGAAAAACAGGAAGCAGTAGGGGAGAGAAAGGCACTACTGATATAATGGAAAAGAGTAAGAAAGAGAAATGGTAATGAAGAATGATAGTCTAAATTGAAGTACAGTTTGAAGATAGAACATGTACCATAAAGACTAACTTTGTCTGTATTGCTGATGTAGCTAAAGCAAAATAATCAGTTGGATTAGGGGTTGCTTCCCTTTCTATTATAGTAGTGCTTGGTGAACAAGCCAACAGATATACGTACTCTGCAAAATTGGAGGCCTTTATTTTGGGATGTTAATTAGCGGTTTTTGCATTGAAAGGATTTGTAATTAATTGTACATATATTGACTAGAGAGAGAGATGTGTAATTTAACATTTTTACCAATGCTTTCTTTGGAATATTTTTTTAAGGATTTTGTAAGGATGTAATTCTAGATTTTCAATTAATTTGATGTTAAATGTTTGCTAAAACTTTACTACACCAGTAGTAAATTTGCACAATTCTATATTTTGTCTTCCTTCAATCCATAAACTTTGGCCTGTGGGGAACTTATCCCCTTTATGTGAGTATTAGTACATTACCTTTCTATAAAGTGAAGAGTCTGCAGTTTTTAAGACTAGTGGCAAAGGATGACAAAACCTTGCATAGTTTGCTAATATTTAATATAATGCATTATAGTACTTACAAAATATTAATTTATTAAATTATGTTAATTGTACAGTACACACAGGTTATCACTACATATACTTTAATGAATGAATGGATATTCCTGAAGCTCGGTAACATTTTAAAGATAAAAGAAAGCCCTCTTTCACTGAAACTTCAGTGGAATGATCTACAATTCCACTGTGAATATATGTCACGTGACCATTTTCCTCAAAGTATGGACCAGTTAAATGATTTGCTTTATCATATTGTTAAAGAATATATTTTTCATGCTAAGGAACTCCTTGTTTGAAATCATTCTTGTTAAAATTGTATGTCATAAAGTAATATTTGCTGTACAGTACACATCACTTATTTTTACTGCTGTTTGATATTGTTATTCTATTCATTAATGGCAATGTATTCCACCACTAAAGCATCATGTCTTGACATGGCTTGAATTATATTTCATCTAGGAATAGCCAGACATGTTTCTGCAATTCTACATACACTTTATTTCATCAAAACCTAATGTTAATTGTATCACCAGCGGTATCACTGTCACAAATATTTTGAATACTGTCATACAATAGCACCAATTTTCTCTTCCCATGATGTATAGTTTCCCCTCATTCTGTGCCCACCATTATTAAACACTTTTCCCAGTGGAGCACGAACCTTGCAGAGTTTGTGTACTGTACATATTTTCGGCTTAATACTTGGATTGTTTAATTGGCATTAATTATATCATGTCTTGCTTATTAAATTAAGCCAATGAAAATTACTTAAGCTACGTTATGCCAATTCCTCACATGGCCATAAATATGCATAAGCAGTTTAAGTGTTACTATCTTAATGAGCATTCATTTTCCCTATTTTTTTTTTTTTTTAAGAAGTTGGCCGTCTCCCACCGAGGCAGGGTGACCCAAAAAGAAAGAAAATCCCCGAAGAGAAAATACTTTCATCATCATTCAACACTCATACATAATCACTGTTTTTGCAGAGGTGCTCAGAACACAACAGTTTAGAAGCATATACGTAAAAAGATACACAACATGTCCCTCCAAACTGCTAATATCCTGAAACTCCTCCTTTAGAGTGCAGGTATTGTACTTCCCATTTCCAGGACTCGAGTCCGGCTATATAAAAATAACCGGTTTCCCTGAATCCCTTCACTAAATATTACCCTGCTCACACTCCAACAGATCATCAGGTCCCAAATACCATTTGTCTCCATTCACTCCTATCGAACACGCTCATGCACGTCTGCTGGAAGTCCAAGCCCCTCGCCCACAAAACCTCCCTTACCCCTTCCTTCCAACCTTTTCGAGGACAACCTCTACCCCGCCTTCCTTCCCCTACAGATTTATGCGCTCTCCATGTCATTCTACTTTGATCCATTCTCTCTAAATAACCAAACCACCTCAACAACCCCTCTTCAGCCCTCTGACTAATACTTTTATTAACTCCACACCTTCTCTTAATTTCCACACTCCGAATTTTCTGCATAATATTTACACCACACATTGCCCTTAGACTGGACATCTCCACTGCCTCCAACCGCCTCCTCGCTGCTGCATTCACAAACCAAGCTTCACACCCATATAAGAGCATTGGTACTACTATACTTTCATACATTCCCTTCTTTGCCTCCATAGATAACATTTTTTGTCTCCACATATACCTCAATGCACCACTCAACTTTTTTCCTTCATCAATTCTATGATTAACCTCATCCTTCATAAATCCATCCGCCAACACGTCAACTCCCAAGTATCTGAAAACATTCACCTCTTCCATACTCCTCCTTCCCAATTTGATATCCAATTTTTCTTTATCTAAATCATTTGATACCCTCATCACCTTACTCTTTTCTATGTTCACTTTCAACTTTCTACCTTTACACACACTCCCAAACTCATCCACTAACCTTAGCAATTTTTCTTTAGAATCTCCAATAAGCACAGTATCATCAGCAAAAAGCAAATTTGTCAATTCCCATTTTGCATTTGATTCCCCATAATTTAATCCCACCCCCCTCCCAAACACCTTAGCATTTACTTCTTTTACAATGCCATCTATAAATATATTAAACAACCATGGTGACATTACACATCCCTGTCTAAGACCTACTTTTACCGGGAAGTATTCTCCCTCTCTTCTACACACCCTAACCTGAGCCTCACTATCCTCATAAAAACTCTTAGCAGCATTTAGTAACTTACCACCTATTCCATATACATGTACTTGAAACATCTGCCACATTGCTCCGCTATCCACTATATCCCTATATATCCATTATATCCACTATATCCCTATGTCCTCTTAAATTAAGCAACTCGCCTCTTAGACAAGAGTGTGTTAGCTTGTCAAGAGCTTTTAAAGTGGAAAATACCAGTACTAGTATTTTAATGCTGACATGCAAAAGTGTTTTTTGGCAGAATTTAAATACTGTGGTCTTCCGTATTCTTGGATCCCAGTGTAATAACCCCTTTACCTCATTCTGATAACTAGTAGTATAGTATACATCATTTGATGTGCTTCAGATATTAACAGACTGTAATAGTTAGCACTACATGTCTTGTTTGTTGTGAACAAAGATGTCTAGTTTTATGAAATCAAGGCTCCACAGTTTAGTTACTATGAGACAATAGGTTCATGTATTGCGTGGATTATCATTTTGGTTGCCACTGAGACACTAACTGCAGTCCTTTACCAATTTAATTAAATGTGCTAAAGACTACTGCATTTGGTATAATCAAATTTTGTTGTAATTTGCTTTGTTTTACTTCTTTATTTTGCTGAAGTATATGTACACAGTTTGGAGTGTTCTATATAAATTCATGTTTTGTTAATATTGTTTAGGTATATATTTTATTAACTCCTATGCAAATAATCTTGTATAGTAAGAAAGTGGATTATGACTAGAAAGGTGCTTATCAGAGTACAAAACCCTCACTCTGACACCACTTATTTAGTATTAGATATGATAGGGTCAGTCACATAACTCAGTCAAACATTAGGAGTCGGGACCAAAAGCTTGAGCTTACCCTACCCCCATAAACTCAAATAGGTAACTGTGTACCACTGATGCCATTTATATGGCTTTGTATAGCACTGGCACTATTTCAACCACGTGGTACACATATGACTTGTAATCTTGACCACACTTTAATTTTAATTTGCTTTAGTGCCATTGAGATAAGATTTTAAATTATGTATTTACTATACATATAATGCACTGAAATCTAGCACTAGTCTCTTAGTCACTGAAGCTTATTCCTACTTTGGCCCAAATTGAACGAGATTGCCCTAAATCAGCACTGCTTTTTCTTCATTAGTGAGTTATTTATTAGTGGAATTTTTTTCCGAGTAAACGGTGATCAGAAAATTTAATGCAACATTGGAGATTAACGGTATAAAATACTGACAAAGTGGAAAAATAAACACAAATGCAGTAAGATGCAATCCTTTATTGACAACATTTCACCCACACAGTGGGATTTATCAAGTCAGACAGATCTGTTTGTGACCTGATAAATCCCAGTGTGTGGGCAAAACATTGTCAATAAAGGATCACATTATACTATACATAAAGCTACATTTTTAATACGTGGAGACTTGTGTTCAATAAGGCTTGACCGATTTTATCCTCTTTCATGTCTACATTACTAAATTACTTAGTTAATATATTAGCTAGCAGCTAGTAATTATCATCAATCATCACTCTCTCTTTCTCTCATGATCATTATTTATATTGGGCATTTATTCCTGTCTATTACTATCGCTGTTTTTATTTTGTTTTGCCGTTACACATTTAACACAAGCACGGTGTGCAGCATTTTCTCTCACTGATAAAAAAATAGACTACCCTTGCCAAGCTGCACCCTGAGGTAGATGATGATGTAAGAAGTATGAGGTATATGTTATTGACTGAATGTGAAGGGTAGAGGGAACAAGTTTTCCTTTTAAAATGTACTTAAATGTTATTAAATGTATCATTAGTGTATCTGGTAGATGTAATTTGCAAAAAAAAAAAAAAAAAAAAAAAAAAGAATATAAATCATCATATTTGTGGAGCATTTTGACATGACAGGGGGGTCAAATTTGCAAAGAGTTTTATTTAGGCATTATCAAATATTTTTCTTGTTAATTACTCAAGACTCTTAACACTGTCTTTCTGGAGTTCTTAGCCAAAAATTATTTTTTCATTAGTCTGTGGTGCCTGCATGAGCTCTCATGGTTGATCTCATGCAAATTAAAATGGCCAGTTAAATTTTAAACTACATATAATGAGAATCATGATAACATGTTGTGATTTTTGTTTTATCCTTTGAACTGTGATTGGAATAACTGTAAATGAATTTCTGTACAAATAAATATGATAAAGAAATGTTTAGTTTGTTATAGCTACATTCTTGTTCCTCACTCCTCTCAAACATAATTTGAGATAGCTGAAAGTTTGTAATTTTAATATTTAATAAAGAAAGTGAGGGCTGCTGACTTAAAATGAGGTTTTTTTTTCTTTGACTTGTGAACCAGTAATTAAATTAGTGTGTAACTGTATCTTACGAATTATTAGTGATTTTTTTAACACATCGGTTGTATCCTACCAAGGCAGGGTGACCCAAAAAGAAAAACAAAAGCTTTTATTTATTAGTGATTATAGTAATGAAACATGACATGAAGCTCTTTGCATATCCAGTACTTTGGCAGAAATTTAAAAACAAAAAATAGTATACTATATATATAGCTGTGACTTTTAAAACCCCTTTAGAAGGGTATGTTAATGCTGGTCAAGAGCTCTTCATCCAGTGAATTGAAGCTACCTCCTACATCGGGTCAAACTTCGTTACTTGCCTAACCCCTCCCATTTCCCAAGTGCTGTATGACCTTACTGGATTAAGTGCTTTCCCATTAATTTTTTTTTTTTTTATTATCACACCGGCCGATTCCCACCAAGGCAGGGTGGCCCGAAAAAGAAAAACTTTCACCATCATTCACTCCATCACTGTCTTGCCAGAAGGGTGCTTTACACTACAGTTTTTAAACTGCAACATTAACACCCCTCCTTCAGAGTGCAGGCACTGTACTTCCATCTCCAGAACTCAAGTCCGGCCTGCCGGTTTCCCTGAATCCCTTCATAAATGTTACTTTGCTCACACTCCAACAGCACGTCAAGTATTAAAAACCATTTGTCTCCATTCACTCCTATCAAACACGCTCACGCATGCCTGCTGGAAGTCCAAGCCCCTCGCACACAAAACCTCCTTTACCCCCTCCCCTCCAACCCTTCCTAGGCCGACCCCTACCCCGCCTTCCTTCCACTACAGATGATACACTCTTGAAGTCATTCTGTTTTCGCTCCATTCTCTCTACATGTCCGAACCACCTCAACAACCCTTCCTCAGCCCTCTGGACAACAGTTTTGGTAATCCCGCACCTCCTCCTAACTTCCAAACTACGAATTCTCTGCATTATATTCACACCACACATTGCCCTCAGACATGACATCTCCACTGCCTCAGCCTTCTCCTCGCTGCAACATTCATCACCCACGCTTCACACCCATATAAGAGCGTTGGTAAAACTATACTCTCATACATTCCCCTCTTTGCCTCCAAGGACAAAGTTCTTTGTCTCCACAGACTCCTAAGTGCACCACTCACTCTTTTTCCCTCATCAATTCTATGATTCACCTCATCTTTCATAGACCCATCCGCTGACACGTCCACTCCCAAATATCTGAATACGTTCACCTCCTCCATACTCTCTCCCTCCATTGATATTCAATCTTTCATCACCTAATCTTTTTGTTATCCTCATAACCTTACTCTTTCCTGTATTCACCTTTAATTTTCTTCTTTTGCACACCCTACCAAATTCATCCACCAATCTCTGCAACTTCTTTCAGAATCTCCCAAGAGCACAGTGTCATCAGCAAAGAGCAGCTGTGACAACTCCCACTTTGTGTGTGATTCTTTATCTTTTAACTCCACGCCTCTTGCCAAGACCCTCGCATTTACTTCTCTTACAACCCCATCTATAAATATATTAAACAACCACGGTGACATCACACATCCTTGTCTAAGGCCTACTTTTACTGGGAAAAAATTTCCCTCTTTCCTACATACTCTAACTTGAGCCTCACTATCCTCGTAAAAACTCTTCACTGCTTTCAGTAACCTACCTCCTACACCATACACTTGCAACATCTGCCACATTGCCCCCCTATCCACCCTGTCATACGCCTTTTCCAAATCCATAAATGCCACAAAGACCTCTTTAGCCTTATCTAAATACTGTTCACTTATATGTTTCACTGTAAACACCTGGTCCACACACCCCCTACCTTTCCTAAAGCCTCCTTGTTCATCTGCTATCCTATTCTCCGTCTTACTCTTAATTCTTTCAATTATAACTCTACCATACACTTTACCAGGTACACTCAACAGACTTATCCCCCTATAATTTTTGCACTCTCTTTTATCCCCTTTGCCTTTATACAAAGAAACTATGCATGTCCTCTGCCAATCCCTAGGTACCTTACCCTCTTCCATACATTTATTAAATAATTGCACCAACCACTCCAAAACTATATCCCCACCTGCTTTAACATTTCTATCTTTATCCCATCAATCCCGGCTGCCTTACCCCTTTCATTTTACTACTGCCTCACGAACTTCCCCACACTCAAACTGGCTCTTCCTCACTCCTACAAGATGTTATTCCTCCTTGCCCTATACACGAAATCACAGCTTCCCTATCTTCATCAACATTTAACAATTCCTCAAAATATTCCTTCCATCTTCCCATACACTCTAACTCTCCATTTAATAACTCTCCTCTCCTATTTTAACTGACAAATCAATTGTTCTCTAGCTTTCTTAACTTGTTAATCTCACTCCAAAACTTTTTCTTATTTTCAACAAAATTTGTTGATAACATCTCACCCACTCTCTCATTGCTCTCTTTTTACATTGCTTCACCACTCTACTAACCTCTTCTCTTTTCTCCATATACTCTTCCCTCCTTGCATCACTTCTACTTTGTAAAAACTTCTCATATGCTAACTTTTTCTCCCTTACTACTCTCTTTACATCATCATTCCACCAATCGCTCCTCTTCCCTCCTGCACCCACTTTCCTGTAACCACAAACTTCTGCTGAACACTCTAACACTACATTTTTAAACCTACCCCATACCTCTTCGACCCCATTGCCTATGCTCTCATTAGCCCATCTATCCTCCAATAGCTGTTTATATCTTACCCTAACTGCCTCCTCTTTTAGTTTTATAAACCTTCACCTCTCTCTTCCCTGATGCTTCTATTCTCCTTGTATCCCATCTACCTTTTACTCTCAGTGTAGCTACAACTAGAAAGTGATCTGATATATCTGTGGCCCCCTATAAACATGTACATCCTGAAGTCTACTCAACAGTCTTTTATTACCAATACATAATCCACAAACTACTGTCATTTCGCCCTACATCATATCGTGTATACTTATTATCCTCTTTTTCTTAAAATATGTATTACCTATAACTAAACCCCTTTCTATACAAAGTTCAATCAAAGGGCTCCCATTATCATTTACACCTGGCACCCAAACTTACCTACCACACCTCTCTAAAAGTTTCTTCTACTTTAGCATTCAAGTCCCCTAACCACAATTACTCTCTCACTTGGTTCAAAGGCTCTATACATTCACTTAACATCTCCCAAAAATCTCTCTCTCCTCTGCATTCCTCTCTTCTCCAGGTGCATACACGCTTATTATGACCCACTTCTCGCATCCAACCTTTACTTTAATCACATAATTCTTGAATTTACACATTCATATTCTCTTTTCTCCTTCCATAACTGATCATTTAACATTACTGCTACCCCTTCCTTTGCTCTAACTCTCTCAGATACTCCAGATTTAATCCCATTTATTTCCCCCCACTGAAAACTCTCCTACCCCTTCAGCTTTGTTTCGCTTAGGGGCCAGGACATCCAACTTCTTTTCATCATAACATCACAATCATCTGTTTCTTGTCATCCGCATACATCCACGCACATTTAAGCAACCCAGTTTTATAAAGTTTTTCTTCTTCTCTTTTTAGTAATTGTATACAGGAGAAGGGGTTACTAGCCCTTGCTCCGGGCATTTTAGTCGCCTCTACACACGCATGGCTTACGGAGAAAGATTCTTTTCCACTTCCCCATGGACAATAGAAGAAATAAAAAAGAACAAGAGCTATTTAGAAAAAGGAGAAAAACCTAGATGTATGTATATATATATATGCATGTGCGTGTCTGTGAAGTGTGACCAAAGTGTAAGTAGGAGTAGCAAGATATCCCTGTTATCTTAGCGTGTTTATGAGACAGAAAAAGAAACCAGCAATCCTACCATCATGCAAAACAGTTACAGGTTTTTGTTTCACAGTCATCTGGCAGGACGGTAGTACTTCCCTGGGTGGTTGCTGTCTACCAACCTATAGACGCTTGGCCATACTCTTCATATTATAGTATTAAATGATAGAACAGCAGCGCTGTATAGCCCTTGTGGCTTAGCGCTTCTTTTTGATTATAATAATAATAATTGATAGAACTGGTACTTTTACAATTCCCTTTAACCCTTTCAGGGTCCGTCCCGTAGATCTACGGCTTTACGTTCAGGGTCCAAACCGTAGATCTACGCCATGAGCTCAGCTCACTCTGATAAACTGTGAGTGGTACATTTGGGCCTAGATATGAGAATACATCTATGTGGTATGTGTGCACCACATAAAACAGATCCTGCAGCACACTGTGTATAATGAGAAAAAAACTTAAATCATGATTTTTCGATTAAAAACAGCGACTTTGCAGTGTTTTTCCGTATGTTTTTTATAGTTGTATTTGCGATTTCTTGGTCTCATTTGATAGAATGGAAGACATATTACAGAAATAGAGATGATTTTGATTGGTTTTAGCACTGGAAATGGCTTGAAACTGAGCTCAAAGTAGCGGAAATTTTAAATTTTTGCCGATATTCAAGAGTAAACAAACGACCTCACACGTCTAATACGTCAGCTGGTGGGTCTAATATACATTCACAAATATGGTGATGATATTTATACAATTATTACAGTATTGCATAACAGTAAATCTATTTTTTGGTGTGAATAAAAATTCATTATGTGAATAAAAAATCAAAATGGAATTTATTTGTAAAGCCTCAAAACATAACTAATGAACAGAGGAAACGTTAGTTTAGTGCCAGGAATGCCTACATTGTTTATTCTGGACCCTATTTTGAAATTGGAATATTTTGAACTTTGTGTTAAATTGGCCAATTAACAATTTCCGATCACTTTATTTTGTAGTTGAAACAGTGACTTGGCGATTTCTTGTGCTCAATCGATAGAATAGAAGTAATACTAGTGAAATAGCTAAGAATTTGGTTGATTGGAATAATGTAATTGGCCTAAAATGGGAGTCAAAGTCGGCAAAATCGCCGATTCGTAAATGTCGCTGACACATCAAAATTCGCGAGAGCATAATTTCGTCAATTTTCCACCAAATTTCGTACTTTTTGTTTTATTACCTTCACAAAAAGATTCTCTACGATTTCATAAGAAAAATAACAATTTTTTTTTTTTAAATTCTTGGACACTGGTGCGTGACTCTAGATTTGGGCCTTGGACCCTGATGGTGATGAGGAGCTCTTGGTCCAAGGGGCTGGACTTCCCTTCCCTTGCAGTGAACAAATTCCTCCCATTCTCTAGGCACACTATAATCCTTATGGGTCTAGTGCTCTTCCCTGATTAAAAATAATATGGAGGAGGTTCTTGGATGCTGATGAGAGACCTTTATTTCAAGAAATTGGACCGCTGTATAGTCCTTGTGGCTTAGCGCTTCTTTTTGATTATAATAATAATCAAGAAATTGGATCTTTCCTCTTCCATGGATTGAACCTGATTGCTTGCTAATTCCCAGACACTGTATGACCTCTGCGGGTTAAGTGCTTACCACAATTAAAAAAATCAAGCCTAATAGTTTCTACTGATCGTCCTTCAAGGGGGTGAAGGTGCCTTGAAGCTGATGAAAAGCTTTTGATCTAAGGAACTGGAGTTATCCTCCCTTGAATCAAAATTATGTTCTACTTCCCGAACTCCTCAAGAGAGGTTCCTTGATGCTGGTGAGGGGATCTAGGGAACTGGAACTGGGCTCCAATTCTCTGAGTTAAGCCTGAATGCCTTCCACATCCCCTCACAGGTGCTGTATAATCCCTACAGGTTTAGCACTCCCTCTTGATAATCTACTTCCCAGATCCTGTATGACCTGTACAGGTTTAGTGTTCCCCCATAGAACTAAAAATTTATGATCACAAAAACTATCATAAGCGCTGAAAATTTGAAGCTGATTGGACGAGATCTTATTAATGTATGAGCTGTATAATCCTTAAAGATAATCCATAAAGATAATAAAAATAAGATATGAGCAAGATAAAAATGAAAAATTAAGGCAACCTCTTGTATATCCCTCACTGTGAATACCTAAAAGTTACTGTAAACCTTCAAGGAAGGAAGAGGCAAGAACCTTCATGCTGAAGGGCTTCTAATCTGAGGTATTAGCTATGTATGACCCTTATGGGTTTAGCGCTTGGTTTTGATTATAATAATAATTGGTCTGAGGCCTTCATTGGATAAAATATGATTTCTCGCATTTCCCAGGCACTTTTTGACAAAAGTTAAAAAAAAAAAAAAAAAAAAAAAAAAGCCTGTCATACCTGGACTTAAATTAATACCAGCACAGGCACAAATAAGAATTTGAAGAATAAAGTATATACTAGATGTTTGCTTTTGAGTACCCATATATTTTCACCACTAATGTAATTTACATTTCACTAATAACATGCTGTGAGTACATTTGACGAGAACATAAATAAGAATACTCTCATGAGCTACAACTTATACCCCTCAAGGAAGGCTCCTTGACGCTGGTGAGGGGCTCTTGATCTAGGGAATTGGATCTGTGCTCCAGTTCCCTGAATTAAGCCTGAATGCCTTCCACACCCCCATAGGCGCTGTATAATCCTACGGGTTTAGTGCTTCCCCCTTGATTATAATAATAATAATAATACAACTTATACACGTACACAAAGGATAGAACTCTGTGTTAACCATCTGAAAGCAAGTGAGGAACTGGAGGTCCAGGGCAGCCCCGGTCACAAGGTAGTCTACACTGGGGCCCCCCTCCTCACCAGACTGGCCAACTTACTGTACAATTGGTAGTTACCGGTATGCAACTATGGTCTTCATTCACAGAGTAAGTTGCCATGCTTTAAGCTGGTTTTTGATGATATGCAGAACTGATGTCATGTGTGATGCATGTTGAACATGACAAACTTGGCGTATGCCACATTTCCCAGTGAACATAAAAAGTTATCACATGGAAACACCCAAAATATATTTGAAGAAAACAGCTCTGACAACTAAAGGTTTCGTGAACTATAAGTACCCTCATTCGAGGGATACCCTATTAGGTTTCTTCAGGAATCTCTTGGGGGTCATCCGATGAGTTATCCCTGGGCTCCAGCGGGGATGCCCTCAGGTGGAAGTCATGCTTAGCATATACTGATATGAAGTTCAAGAAGTCCTGCTTCATACAGCCGTAGCTAGCAAGGGGAAAGCCTGCATACAACATCTGCGTCTTTTTATAAATCTGAAATTAAATATACAAGAAGGTAAACAAATACAGTGGTGTGCAATAAAATAAGTTATAATGGGACATAAGTTTCAATTAGATATGATGGAGACCTGAATAAAGGTTTCATCTGGCTTATTAACTAAGAGAGGTAGTAACCTAGGATGACAGTCAATTTTTTTTTTTTACCTTTTGGTGTTTTATAATGTACTTCTTCCAGAATTCTCTTCACCTGATGTCAGGTCCTGTACGTACCCAGTGAGGGGATTTGGATCTTTGCTCTCATAGCCGTATTGGTGGGCCTCAGCTGTCTCAGGATAGCTATAACAAATGGTGACCAAACTGAACACTTCCTTGTGCGTCTGCTTTGATAAAAGGAATTAGAGCTATCTTCTTCCTTGCCCCAATTCTCTGCTTTCCCCCATTGCCCATTCGCTGCATGACTTTTAAGGATTAGCGCTTCCCCATGATGGCGATACTAATACGAGGAAGGGGAAGGTAGCTCCAATCCCTTGGATCAAGAGCCTTTCACCAGGTTCAAAGCCTCACCCTTCTTTAGAGGTGTCATCCGTTACTCACCAAGACCATGCCCATCTTGACTTGTCCGCCGTTGAGGAGAGTGGGCTGAGCTCCCTTCCTCTCCTTCCGCTTGCCCTTAGACTTAGCCAAATCGTACTTGATGAAGGCCAAGGAGGGCTCACTGGGGCTCTGAAGACACGGACGTAGAGCTGGCAGGTTCTGGGCCACGTACACCGCCTTGATCAGCGACTCTCCCCCTACCACCACCGAACCTTGGCTGGCAAGTAATAATTTTTTTTTTTACCTTTGAAGAGGGATGCCTTGATGCTGGTAAAAGGCTCTCGATCAAAAGAATTGGAACCGCCTTCCTCTTACTCTAAGCTCGACTGCCTCCCATTCCTTAGCCTCTGTGATCCTCATGGGTTTTCGCTATCCCATCAATGTAACAAAAATAACGAGAATTTATTGATCAGGGCCGTCATCCTGCGAGTTAATATTATTATTATTATTTATTATTATTATTATTATTATTGTTATTATTATTATTATTGTTATTATTATTATTATTATTATTATTATTATTATTATTAGTAGTAGTAGTAGTAGTATATATATTATCAAAACTAAGCGCTAAACCCGCAAGGGACATTCAGTAATAAACTTAATTTAACGTTATATTCACGGGAAAACGCTAAGTTGCCAATTTTTATATTCCAGCTGAAGAGGTCATGTGACACAGGTCAATGATATTGGTTCAAAGTTTTTATTACATACAATAATCCTCACTGGTCAATATGCCATAATTTATTCCGACGTGGACATATTTTATTCAGGGAGGTACTTAACCCGTAGGTGTCATACAGCACCAGGAGATAAGATAAGATTTTCTTCGGATTTTTAACCCTGGAGGATTAGCCACCCAGGATAACGCAAGAAAGTCAGTGCGTCGTCGAGGACTGTCTAACTTATTTCCATTGGGGTCCTCAATCTTGTCCCCCAGGATGTGACCCACACCAGTCGACTAACATCCAGGTACATATTTGTTGCTAGGTGAACATGACAATAAGTGTAAGGAAATACGTCGAAATGTTTTCACCCCGCCGGGAATCGAAGCCGGGCCCTCCATGTGTGAAGCGAGAGCTTTAGCCACCAGGCCACCGGGAAGGTAACCAGGTTTGATTCGAGGAAGGAAAGGGATAAGCATCTTCAGTTCCTAGGAATAAGAGCTAATTTTTACTATTTTAATAGGCTAATATAAAAACAAAGATCCTAGTGAAAATAAGTCACTGACTTTTTTTGGGTAACTCTAGGTGATTTGCACAGGTTATCATGAAAAACAATCGAGATGATCTAAAAATCGTGCAGTTTTGCATAAATCTAAAAATCATATAACGCCTTGGAAATGGGAGGCATTCAGGTCCAGTCCGAGGAAGGTGATCAGTCCGGTTCCTGAATCAACAGCCCCTCACCGGCATCAAGAGCCCTCATCTCCCCACTTAAGGGTTTTTTCCTTCCTCAGTCCATTTCATAACCTGTCTTGGTACACCATTTATGAAGGAGCGTGTACGAAGGGGTGGCAGACACTGCTTCTCCATTGTATTATCTCACCACTATTCTCTGCTAGGGGTAGATTACAGCAGGATTACATTGCACTGAGAGGACAATTAATTTTTCTTTCTTTAGTGAACGACGGGAGCGGTAGTTAAAAGATTACAGAGGTACATGAATTGGTAAAGGGACTGGACTCCAAAGTTTTGATAGATGAGCAAGTTACAAAGGTAATGAACTAGATCTGGTCACAGTCATGACCAAATTACAAAGGTAATGAACTAGATCTGGTCACACTCATGACAAATTACAAAGGTACAAGGGGAGCACATTAGGCAATCTAAAATACCTTTCTTGTAAAGAGCATTATGGCATCTGCCACATTTAGAGCATATGTACACAGTGGACCGGGACAAAATAAGCTAGTTTGAAAGCAACACAAGATAAGTGATGGTACGGGTGTGTTAAGTAAACAAAGCCCAAATGTTACTAAAAGTCGTATATATCAGGGTAGCTTCCCAAGGCGAATATATCCAAGTTTTGTTAGTAAAAACATATCAACAGAGATTTAGGTACATAAGTGAAAAACGGTATGGTGATACCAACAGGAAGTAGAAAAAGACACTTAATGTACAGTTCAGAACATTTATTGCAAGAAACGTTTCGCCACTCATGGGGAAACGTTTCCTCTAATAAATTTCCTGAACCGTACATTGTCTTTTTCCACAGGTACATAAGTATTTGCTGAGACCTGACATCCGTTTACCTTTGGCTGGAGTTGGTAACGACGAGGACAATGAAGCGGTGTGCTGGGGTGAGAGACAGCAGTGGCACAAGTTCTCGCTCTGTGATGGACGGCACTTCCTGCTGTGAGCACAGGCACCGCAGCCAGTACGGCCGTGACGCCAGCCGGCTTCTGAGGGCGGCCAGGGAGAGAGTAGGTCCACGCCCGCCACGACCACTCCTGTGGGAGATATTGTGAACCATTTGGTGCCTGTGTGTTGTCTGGGGTACATATGGACTAAGAGGAAACGTGAAGGGAAATCGGCAGCTTTTGTTAACGTTACCTAATTAAATCATCAATAAGTGCAAATAGGTAACTAAATGTATTTAGGTCTCTGCCCGATCTGAGAAAGGCATCTCCGTATTGCACAACTCCAGGCCCCTTCGCCCCCCGGCCCCATGCATGCGAGAAGATTAGTGCATAGTGCAGAGTGTGAGATAAGTTTTTAATGTAATTAGGTATTAGCGTTGAAGATTTAAAGATAATCAGATTTAGAATTCACAAGTTATCACATAGACACTAATATCCCAATTGTTTTTCAGTAAAAAATTGCAAATTAGTACATACACAGTACTAAACTAATTCAAACTTATTAACATCAGCTATGAAACCAAACTGAGGAGGAATTCTCTTGTTATCTCGAAGCAATATCCTAAAATACACCAGTACACTAAGTATGAAGACGCTCAGACTTTGCATTATCAAATTACCAGTGACTATAACGCAGTTGGATGAGATACAGAAATTATCGTATGCAAATTAGTAATTTGTTATTCCCTGTTTCTTCCATAAAAATACGACAAATTGGGACCATCAACAGGCCAAAATAAATTCAAACTTTTTTCTAAGAATTTAAAGTTTAATATGCATGAAAATAATTAAGTTTTATTAAATTAATATGATGTAGAGAAAAAGAAGAGGGCCCAGCTGGGAAAGGTTGTGTGACGGGAAAACAGAAATATCAAAATAACAAGGACGGTAGAAGGCGAAGAGGAAGGAAGGCCACAAGGTAAGTATATTTCTTAAGGTCTGGACACTGGGGTGACTGAAGAAGGGACAGCAGGGACCTGTGGGCCCCCTGGAGTACGAGAGCCGTGGGAGTCTTATTTGGAGATAGTCTAGTCACTGCCATAGCATGAGAGGCCCTCCTTTTTTTTTTTTTTTTTTTTTTTTTTTTTTTTTTTTTTTTTTGAGACGGAGGATTTCTCTCGTAAAAAAAAAAAGCTGGGCAATGCGGCAATACGCTGGGAGGCGAACTTTTCCACAGTTAAGGCAAAGGGGAATAAAAATTATCATGATACCCTGCACCTCAGACCGGGCATTCTGCTGGTGAACAACTGTATTTGGCCAGATGGCCGAAGAGACAACAATGTTTGCCTCGTTGAGACGTCGGGAGTAATTCCCACACTTGGAAGCGTTGTCTTGCTATATAAACTGAAGCTTGAAGCACCAGGAAGTAGGCTAGATAGGCATTGTTGCTAGGATAACTGGATACAAGTTTCCAGTTTGGTGACAGAGAGAGATTCTAGAGCTCAAGTTGATGCTGAATGTCGGTCACAATGCGTAAATTCCTGTTGGATGTTAGATGAAGACAGTACCGCAGCTAAAACTGAGAAAGGAATATCTATATATTGTGACAGGAATGTTGTCAATAAAGCGGAGAAATCTAACGTCGAAAGTCTAACAACGCAAGTCCAAGATACGCTTTACAGGCAGGGTAATATTGTGACCAGTAATGTTACTGATGCATGTGAATGACATACCGGATGGGATTGAGTCGGATATATACCTAGTTTTCTAATGGATAGCTAACAATGAGAATAAATACAGTTAAGAACAAGGCAAGACTCTTGCGCAACCGCCCACAGGGTGAATGTAAGTACACAAACTAATTTGTTTTTATGAACACGCCGCTATTAATTAAACTCTCACTAATGTTCTCTTTGGACATGCCAGCGTGTCCGGAAGGTAAACACGACCTCACGCCAGCAGCGGGGAGGGAGAACTGCAACAGTGATTGTACAGTTATAATTTATATACACTAGAAGAGAAGCTACACTGAGCTACGTAGGAGACGAAGAGGAGGCAACACTTTATGAAACGAGGGCCTCGCAACTGAAATTTTGTTTATAATTATTGTCGTCGTCTTAATTTTGCTTCCTGCTGCTTTTCTCAATGTGTTCTATTTCTTCTTTCGCTCCATGATTTTCCTTTCTCTCTTTACTCTCTCTCCTTCCTCTACTGTCTATCCTCCCTCACCTCTTTCCTCCCTTATTTCTTGACTGTCTCTAAATCCCTCCCCGATTCTTGATTTTTATTCCATGTCCTTTTCTCCCTTACTATCTTCGCCTCTATTCCCCCCTCCACCTTCCCTTTCAGTTCTTTTTTCCTACCTTCTTTCTATTTCCGTTATCTCTCTGCTTCTCTCTCTCGACACACTCACGAGTCTTCACTATTATCTTGCTAAAAATGGGAAGGGAAAGGGGGGTACAGAAATTGATGGAACAACGATACGGAAAAAAAGATGATGGGGAGATAAAGAACAGGGAAAGGGCAATGGGAAAGGCTGGAAGACAGAGAAAATGAAGGGAAATAGCATGAAGTCAGTGATTAACATGGAAGATGAGCTAATTAAAGAGGGAGAGGAAGGTGCAGGGTAAGGTAAGGTGACATTCACCTTCCGGGAGTTCGAAGCTGGGCACACAGTTGCCGCAGGACCTGAGGACACGCTGTCACACCCTCGTTTTCATCTGGCTGCTGCTCGACTCCCTCCGCTCTGTGACGACAATACACCAATTAGTATTCCTGAAATTCATTCAGGATCTTAAGCAAATCCCGAGAGAGACATAAACGCACCGGAGGAGACAGTAAAGCATATTCTAAGATTGGGGCATTTAACAATGTACACAGAGAGGTAAACATCTACAGAATAAAGCTAAGGCTAAGATTACGTTGGGTCTAAGAGGAATTTCAGTAAGACTGTGTCAGTGAGGGCTAGAAATGTAAATAATACCTGGCTGAGAGCCAACTTATTGGATGGCTATGATCGCTAACATTACAGAAAAGAGCGTCGGTCTTATGACGTCTGTTGGAAAGGGAGCAGTCTCAGCGCTGGAGAGGGCAAGAGGAGCAGGAAATAAAGAGTGAATATGTGAAACATCTGTGGTAAGAGAAGTATAAACTAAAACGCTTTGAAGTGTATTAATATGACGAAATTAAAGTTCGATATCCAGAGGCCGAAGAGTGTTAAGATGATGAAAACTAAATATACAGGGAGAGGCCAGAGAACAAACAACATCACTGGAGAAGTGGATTTAGGAAAGAAGAAAATCATATCAGAATGCAAGTAAACAGAGTAAAACATTTACAGACTGAACCCCATCCCCCTACCCTTCCCTTATCCTTGATGCTCGTGAGGGCTCTTGATCCAGAGAACTGAATCTGTCTTTCCCCCTTGGATCAAACCAGATTAACCTCCCATTCCTCAGGAGCTGTATGACCCCTATGGGTTTAGCGCTTCCCCTTAAATATAATAATAAATAATAATAACACCATTTACAAAAGTTTTGTAACTTTTTTTTTTATTTAGGTTTTTAGTTTTGCGTCACATCTCGACAACTTACAATAATCTTAATATACCTTACGTAATACAATTAATTTTTTTTTGTTACCAAAGAATTTGTATAATTTTCAGAGTATAACCAGATTTGATCTAAGGAAAGGGAGATTAGCTCCAGCCCATAGGATCAAGAGCTCTCCACCAGTGTTAATATCCCCTACACTTCAAGTCGAAGACAATAACGAGGGAGGTTAGGCTAGTCACCCCTGGTATCCACTCCCAGATTTTCACAGTCAAGGGGGAAGCGGTAAACCCATAGGAATCCTACAGCACTTGAGGGAATGGGAGGTAATCAAGGAAAGCCAAGTTCTGTTCATTAGATCAAGGGTCCCTCACCGGCATCAAGGACTCTCCCTTGAGGGCACCCACCTGCATAGCCTCCTGACGGGACTGATTTTTACGGCGAGATGTCGGGGTCCTGCGCATTCCTCGCCTCCGACCTCTAGCATCCTGATATCAGGGGCCTCGTGATACCGCTGCTGGTGATATCAGGGCATCCATGGTTCTACTGCAGGTGATATTAGCTGGTAATTCTGAAGATGTCAGGTGCTCTATGTAATTACTGCTTTGGATGTCAGGGTCATGGCCCTAGTGCAGCCGATATTACGAAGTACTATTGCAGGTTATGTTAGCTGCTCAGTGTTTATGCTTTTGTGATGTCAGGTGTTTCACGGTACAAGTATAGGCGATGTCAGCCCATATACTGCTAATGATGACGTCATATGCTGTGGAGCTGCCTTAATGTTAAAAATTTCGTAATACTAAACTAGTGACGTCAGATTCTGTATTATCAAAATTTGATGCCACATTGTGTGGTTACCCTTATCTACATGACATTTTATAGCAGCAGATCAAGAACGTCGTGTAGGTATCTCAAGTTTTTTCTTTTAGTCCAGTCCTAATAGGCGAAACGTGCGCAGACGTGTTCCTGATGGAGCTCCTGTTGTTTTTGTATCTGTTGCAGTGGTTGCAGTTGTCAGGATGGTTGCAGATGTCACAGGTATTGTTGACCTTGTTGGTATGCCATGATCAACCTAGGAAAATGTGACGAGAGTTATTCGGAATATAAAATATTTTTAAAACTTCGTTGACAGGACTGACTCTCCTGCATCTGATGTTATTTATAAAATGGAAATAAATGATATAGAATACCGACACAACGGAAATATAAACACACATATGCAGTATAATGTGATCCTTTATTGACAACGTTTCGCCCACACAGTGGGCTTTTTCAAGTCGCAAACAGATCTACCTGGGGTGGAAGGTACGCGAGTATTTATAGTCAGGTTCAGAATGCTGAGGTCAGGTGGAGAATGCTGCATCTGATGATGTACCGAGTGGGGTTATAGCAGGTCTGACGATACAAGGAATGCCTGTGTACAACACCGTAATTCACACAACCACTTGATAAACTACAGAAACTCAAGACTTATCGTCACAGAAGACAACATTCAATACCGAAGAATCCTGGAATCATCACTTATTTCTATATCCGACAACTTCAACCATAACATAGCTGAACCACTTGCCAAGAAACTTCTTCATCGCTATCCCACATAAGAGCATAGGAATGGAAGAACACTGCAGAAGGTCTGCTCAAAAACTTATCCAATCTCCCTTCCAAGCTACCCAAGATTTTAGACTCTATAACCCCACTCGGTAGATCATCAGATGCAGCATTTTCCACCTGACCTCAACATTCTGAACCTGACTATAAATACTCGCGTACCTTCCACCCCAGGTAGATCTGTTTGTGACTTGAAAAAGCCCACTGTGTGGGTGAAACGTTGTCAATAAAGGATCACATTACACTGCATATATGTTTATATTTCGTTATTTACAAAAGCGACTATTGCTTCCACTGTGTGTGTGTATGTGAGTGTGCGTGCGAGACCCGCTCCTACCGATTAAAACCCAGGCATCAATTTACTAGTGAATAAACAGGGACAGCAGGGTATGGAGACTAGCCAACACACCTCCCCTAATAGAGATCGAACGTGGGTCCCCTCGGTTGTGAGCGTAGATGTCTGAGCAACAGAGGTATCCCTGACGGCTGCAGGTCTAACTATCCTGCCTCTGCAGTGCACCCCCTGTAGGCAGTAGAACTATCCCGTGTTATTACCACTAATTAACACGACTCCTGCAGAAGTATCTCCCGCGGCCTTTTTTAATCGGTGTAATTACCGTAGAGGTAATCAGCGTGGGCCTGAAAGAGCCATTTGTCTTTCGACAATAATTTATATTGTTCATCACGTGTTGGCAACACCGCAGCGGCAAGAATGTAAATTAAAACTTATGTAATTTTGTCTTCATGACCCATTTATTTAATTAATTACATATTTTGTTGACAGGAGAAGACGAGATCATATTTTTAATTTAAAGAATGCCAAGTCTTCCTCTGAGTCGAGCTTCGAAGAGAGAGAGAGACAGAGAGAGAGAGAGAGAGAGAGAGAGAGAGAGAGAGAGAGAGAGAGAGAGAGAGAGAGAGAGAGAGAGAGAGAGAGAGAGAGAGAGTTAATGTATGTGTGTACTCACCTAGTTGAGGTTGCGGGGGTCGAGTCCGAGCTCCTGGCCCCGCCTCTTCACTGATCGCTACTAGGTCACTCTCCCTGAGCCGTGAGCTTTATCATACCTCTGCTTAAAGCTATGTATGGATCCTGCCTCCACTACATCGCTTCCCAAACTATTCCACTTACTGACTACTCTGTGTGTGTGTGTGTGTGTGTACTCACCTAGTTGAGGTTGCGGGGGTCGAGTCCGAGCTCCTGGCCCCGCCTCTTCACTGATGTGTGTGTGTGTGTGTGTGTGTGTGTGTGTGTGTGTGTGTGTGTGTGTGTGTGTGTGTGTGTGTGTGTGTGTGTGTGTGTGTGTGTGTGTGTGTGTGTGTGTGTCCAGTAATTGAATTGAAAATAATCTTTACTAAGAAGATACAATTTAAACACCGACCAGAAAATCTTAAGAAAGTTATTTATCGAAGATTAAGAAAGACGAAGATGGTCAAGGCAGGTGCACAGGAACCCTCGGGAACCCTGCACCTCAGCCCCCCTCCGCCCCACACACATATCCCCTCTTTCACTACCCTTCCTCTCAGAACATTTCTCACCTCCCACTCCCTCCTTGCCCATTCCCCACTCTGCATTTCTATTTTTCTTAATCCTCCTATTTCAACTCCCACTCTTCCCCTTTCAACTCCAATACCCCCTTTCTCAATCCCCCTTCAACCACCACACATCATTTCTCAATCCCCTCTCAACCACCACACATCATTTCTCAATTCCCTCTCAACCACCACACATCATTTCTCAATCCCCCTCAACCACCACACATCATTTCTCAATCCCCTCTCAACCACCACACATCCTTTCTCAATCCCCTCTCAACCACCACACATCATTTCTCAATCCCCTCTCAACCACCACACATCCTTTCTCAATCCCCTCTCAACCACCACACATCCTTTCTCAATCCCCTCTCAACCACCACACATCCTTTCTCAATCCCTCTCAACCACCACACATCCTTTCTCAATCCCCTCTCAACCACCACACATCCTTTCTCAATCCCCTCTCAACCACCACACATCCTTTCTCAATCCCCTCTCAACCACCACACATCCTTTCTCAATCCCCTCTCAACCACCACACATCCTTTCTCAATCCCCACGCCCCCATTCCTTAATCTCCACTCCCCCACGCGCGCGACACAATAACTTTGCCAATCAGTAGAAAGCAAGGCAGGGGGCCTTGAATAAGACAAATAATTACCTTGAGTCAGCAATGGACAATAGAAAAAGAGCTTCAGGGGCGAGTGCGCGCACACAAGAGCGTGCACACAGGCCTAAATGCACTCGCACGTACACACACACACACACACACACACACACACACACACACACACACACACACACACACACACACACACTAACTATTTATATATTTTATTTTTCATTTCTTAGCTTCAAGTAGGATTATTTTTACGTTTAAATGTTTTATATTCTTTATTTCTTTTGCATATTAATAAAGTTGTTTATTTTCTTATGATGTTATCGTTGATTTTTCAATTTTTTTCATTTCCATAATGAAGTCCCAGTCTTATCAAATACTCTTTCATGGTCTTATAGGGCTGTTAAACCTTCACATGCAACAGTCTGATGACACTGGATGACAGGGGGGATAGGGGGGACATGATAACGACATATCAAATACTGAGAGGAATTGACAAGGTGGGTAGGGACAGAATGCTTTAGCGATGGGACGCAACAACAAGCGGTCACAACTGGAAGTTGAAAACTCAGATGAGTCATAAGGATGTTAGGAAGTATTTCTTCAGTCATAGAGTAGCCAGGAAGCGGAATAATCTGGTGAGGGTGTAGTGAAGGCAGGATCCATACATAACTTTAAGAAGAGGTACGATAAGGCTCATGGAGCATAGAGAGAATGGACTTAGTAGTAACCAGAAGCGAAGCCAGGAGCGGTGAATCTACCCCTGCAACCACAAATAGGCGAGTACAAATAAGTGAATACACACACACAGGCGTCTATAGACAAGTAGACAAGTGTCTTTGACATCTAATAGCTAGCAGGGCCAGGAGTCAAGACTTGACTCATACAATCACAACTTGGCTAGTAGACACACAAATAACAAAAGCTTCCTGTAATCTTTAAGTCACTCTAAACACTCTACTCTCGAACGTCATGCATACAATTTAAATGCTTTTGTTAAGTAATGCCCGCAAGCTGCTACTATTTTCGTACTTCAGAACACATGACATTATCACGAAAAGGATTAGAGTCAAACTCATGGCGACCATCCCTAGAACTGGTGGGTCATGACATTACTGTTCACACTACATTTTAATACAGTGCGTCAGGCATCCTAATTGCAGGTATCGTTTGCTTTTTGTCGGGTTGCGTCAAACATACACGTTATCGTCTTATATCAGCAGCGATCATCTTACGTCAGGCATTCAAGCTGTTACCGTCGTATGTCATATATATGAACGTTATTGTCACACGTCAAATATTCATGTTATCGTTGTATGTAAAGTATGTACGTGACTGTCGTCGTACGTCTGGGATTCACGTTCTTATTGTCATATGTTGGTATCGTCACATGTTGCTATTGTCAAATATTCTTATCGTCAAATGTTCTTATCGCAAATGTTAAGCAATACTGAATACAAAACACAGGACTGTCACTTAGTATGGCGGGGACGTGTAAAAGACTTGGCTTTTGTGATGTCACCCGACCCATTATTGAGAGAAGATATCTCAATAATCTGCGAGAGCCAGATATGACAAGGTGGGTAACGACAACTCTCTCAAAACAAAAGAAATAACACCACTAATAATCTTTATTTCTACAAGTACATGTACAAGGTATACAGGCCTAGCTGACATCAGTGACATACTATACAGAAAGCCCATTGTTATGCAGGGCACTTCGGGCAAATTAGGTCAATTTTGTTCCCAGGATGTGACCCACATCAGTCGGCTAACACCCAGGTACCTATTTTACTGCTAGGTGAGCTGTGACAGCAGGTGTCCCTGCTTACCGAGGTTTCCTCCCGTACTGGGGATCGAACCACAGACCTCAGTATGTGAGCTGAGTGCCCTAGCAATCGAGCTACGGGACACTCTTCACTGGTGAGGCTATTAAATCGCTTGTGTTCTCTTGCTTCGAGTACTGCTTGAAGTTGGTGGCTCCGTGCAATACAAGGAGCATGTATCTCCCTCAGGACCAATAAGAGCATTTAAAATTCTGGGAGTACCTCATTCCAAGCCTCCAGGATTAAAATTGTATATGCCTATTCTTCAAGGCAGGCACTAGGGGTCATGTGCATGCACGGTGCATGGCATCCCCGACTATAAAGGCCATATTGGCCTTTATAGCACATTGGCAAATAGCATATAGTACATTGGCTGGTCACTGCAGTGCCAAACGAGGGCAGTGCTGACACTTGTCATGCATTAGGCATGAGCATTATCGCCGTATGCAACTCATACCTGTTAGTACTGTTGTTTGGAAGGCATGCATGTTATTAATGTCATATGTCACATATACACTTTTCTCTGTCCTAAGTCAGAGATACAAGTTTCTATGACGTACATCAGGCACGTAAGCTCCTATGATTGTATGTTAGGCATGCAAACTTTTATGATTGTATGTGAGGCATGAAACGTCTGTGATTGTACGTCAAGCATGGATGTTTCCATGATCGTACGTCAGGCATGGATATTTCCATGCTCGTACGTCAGGCATGGATGTTTACATGATCGTACGTCAGGCATGGATGTTTTCATGATCGTTCGTCAGGCATGAGAGCTTTTATAATCGTACGTCAAGCATGCAAGCTTCTTTGATCGTACGTCAGGCAAGTAATGCAGGGGGTTAATTTCGTACTCTGACCACTCTTTTACTGCCGTCAGCCATTCAGATGGTCACACACATTATGATGAAATATAGCGAGAGGTCAGGCGAGGTTTCACGGGATGTGCTGATAATGACCCGCGATGCGCCAGCTTGTTCTAATCATCCTGACAATGCAGTGAAAAAAAACTACGGAAGCTTAGTCCTTGTTTATCCCTATTAACTTACAATTTAGAGAGGGTAACCTGGGCAATGTTTTGGTCCAGCCTGACCCAAAACATCAACAAAACCATCACGATTTGATATTATTAGTATTATGTTGTTATTAGGGGTTTCTGATGGCTACAGTTATTCTTATGCCTCTGTTTTCCTTTTTTGTTTGTTCTTACTATTATATACCTCTCTGAGAATATCGAATTCGTTATTATACCTGTGACTTTTGCCTCTGTAATTGCTATGGTATCAGAGATTTCCTTTCCTAAAGTGTGTGTATATGTGTGTGTACGTACTAAAAGGGAAGAGGAGGATAAATAGAAGAAATAAATGGTTGACCTGACACATGTTAAGTGTTATAGACAATTTAAAAACTTTAACACACGATGTGGAAAATTTACTTTGAGTTATAATTTTGTTGTAGAGGCCGTGGTGGGTCTCAGGTAGGGTGCGGCGCCCCCTCTAGACCTCTGCTTTATGACTCGTTAAACGTCTTTAATTAGAACCGTCTGAGGTGCTAAGGGAGAGAGAGAGAGAGATTGGGAGAATGTACAAAGTTCTAAGTCCAGTTAGGATTCTCCCTCTCTCCTACCCTGTGTCCCCTTCGCCCCACGTAAGTTTCCCTGTCTCTAATAACATGTTCATTTTTCCCCTAAAATCTACCTTGTTCATAATTACTATCGCTTTTTTTTGTCTGTTTCGTAAGGTAAAGTCCAGGATCTTTCCTTAATTCACGGTATAACTTAATAAATCTTTGAGGACAATTGTGTTGTAGAGGTCTGAGCTGTGCTCAGACTTCTACAACTTTACCTTACGAAACGGACAAAGCAATTAAGGACAGTAATTAGGGACAAGGTAGACTATAGGGAAAAAATAAACGTGTTATTAGAAGACGGGGGCACTTACGTGCCCCTTAAGCCGCTTCATCAACAAACCAGGTCTACACATGGGTGTTCAATCTGCTTAGACTCAAATTATCCGAACTATGCTCACGAACCATGTGTGAATGGGTGTATTTTTTTTTTATCTATAGATTTTTGAAACTGTCGAACTTCAGCACCTGGTCCCTTCTCTCTTTTCTACACGTGTTTCCGTTTGTACCAACGACTGGTGTAAAAAAAAAAAATTAATCCCGACAGAAGAGGCCTGAGTGGAGTGTTCTGGGAAGAATGTTCTTCTCTGGTCATTCTTCTATCATTATTGTAAGAACATCCAGGCGAGTACAGATAGGAAGTGCGTCTGCAAGGCGCTCAGCAGACGGAGGATCAAGCCTCCACCACATCTTGCCCTGAATGACCCACATGGGTTTAGCGCCTATCACTAATTATTGTTATTAGCAAACAGTCATAAGAGTCCCAAGTTCAACAATCCCTCACCAGCATCAAGGAACCTCCCTTGAGAGGCCTTCTCATCGAAGTCATTCCACTTTCAAGCCACCAGAGGCGAAGGGAAGATTTCTTTACATCTCGGCGGTTCCAAGGAAAGAGATCAGGTTCAGTTCTTTGGAGCAAGAATCCCTCACCGACATCAAGGAACCTCCCTGGAAGGTTATGATGCGGGGATGATGCAAGGCGAAAGACTAAAACCCAAGACTGTCAGAAATTGAATTCGCTAAATTGCGCTATGTAACTCATGGATCATTCCGCGATACAGTAAAGCCAAGATAAAGCACTGACTCACCTCCAGAATTTTCCGTGGTCTAAGGAGGCAATTAAAAAGCTGAAAATGGACAGTTAAAACATCTCATTAACCTCGTAAAAGACTAACAGCAACGTTGAAAAATGAAACTGTTCTGGTTAAATGTTTGAGTAAACACTTAGCAGGTCGCAGCAGATAGCGTGTGTCAGTCTCCTGGGCAGATTATAACACTGCGTGGCCGTAATCGTTGTAAGGGAGAGTCTCTCCCTCCCTCCCTATCTCTTGGGGGAAGGGGAAATCGGGGAAAGGGGGAGCGAGAAAAGGGGTTGGTCCTTATCCAATGTAATGTTTTGCTCACGCTGCAACACGACTTCTAATTACAAGAGTTCACCGCTGTCTACCTGCATTTATGCCAGGAAAACAACACGTCGAGATCAGGAACTTCTGGCAGAGTTTGAACAGCCAAACGTTGTTTGTGTAGTATAATAATTTACCAGGTTTAGTGTTACGTTTACACACCCATCTTCACTTGTTGCTACCTCCATCTCGTTAAGGGTCAACATGTATGGCACAATCGCCGAGTTGTGGGTGAGGGAGTGTGGTCGTAGCTGCTGACCTCGCTCCTCTCACTGCTACAGTCTGTAGTCTAAAGAGGAGTCTGAGGAACAAGTCTTTATTTGGAAAACATTTCACTCTAAGTAGAATTTTTCAAGTAATACATTTTTTTTACTTTGGCCATATATCTGTCGGCGTTACGCCCTTAAAATAGTGTCTGCCTAAATGGGTTTCAGTTCCTCAAGCTCTCAAATTTATCACTGAAACTGAGTACAGAATTTCTTTCCACCAAATCCTTATTTTTTTTACTGTCTCTAACATTGAAAAAGCATTCCCTAACATCCCTGTTGTTCATCTGTGTTCTTTACTTCCGTTTGACCCCTCTTAAGTCCATCTCTGTCCACTATGTTTATGTATTTATGTCGTGATTGTGTGTTCCTGGTTATGCTTACTTTCAAGGCTGTTAGGTTCAATTCCTTTATTCTGGCTTCATAGTTCATCACCTTAAACCCGGAACTAGAGTAAACCTCTGAACTACTTTCATGAAAAAATGTAATTACATTAGCTGGTCTATACGCATTCGTAGTATATAGCAATAAGAACAGCCTCATAAGAACAAAAGAGGGATTCAAAAGAAGGAAGAACATTAAAAAAGAAGTTGGAAAGAATAAGGCGCTTACCCGATTCCAGGCGCTGGAAAAATCAGCTTCACTTCCAGCTTAACTGTGGTATATAGATTCCGTAGATTTATTGAAAATTTAAGTTGGTATTTTTCGCAGTGCTGCTGCTCCTTCCTTCAGTATCAACGATGATAAATTTTTGTACGTTGTTTTCTAGTGTTTTAAACATCAGTTTCACGCACAGTGTGAGCCAGTGAGCGAGGATAGGGAAGATTCTATGAGAGTGTATGAGAGAGTGTATGAGAGTGTATGAGAGAGAGTGTATGAGAGTGTATGAGAGAGAGTGTATGAGAGTGTGTATGAGAGAGAGTGGATGGGAGTGTATGAGAGAGAGTGTATGAGAGAGAGTGTATGAGAGTGTATGAGAGAGAGTGTATGAGAGTGTATGAGAGAGAGTGTATGAGAGAGAGTGTATGAGAGAGTGTGTGTGAGAGTGTATGAGAGTGTATGGGGAGAGAGTGTATGAGAGTGTATGAGAGTGTGTATGAGAAAGTGTATGAGAGAGTGTATGAGAGTGTATGAGAGAGAGTGTATGAGAGAGAGTGTATGAGAGAGAGTGTATGAGAGAGTGTATGAGAGTGTATGAGAGAGTGTATGAGAGTGTATGAGAGAGTGTATGAGAGTGTATGAGTGTATGAGAGAGTGTATGAGAGAGAGTGTATGAGAGAGTGTATGAGAGTGTATGAGAGAGAGTGTATGAGAGTGTATGAGAGAGTGTATGAGAGTGTATGAGAGAGTGTATGAGAGAGTGTATGAGAGAGTGTATGAGAGTGTATGAGAGAGAGTGTATGAGGTGTAGAGAGAGTGTATGAGATTGTATGGAGTGTATGAGAGAGTGTATGAGAGTGTATGAGAGAGTGTATGAGAGTGTATGAGAGAGAGTGTATGAGAGAGTGTATGAGAGAGTGTATGAGAGTGTATGAGAGAGAGTGTATGAGAGAGAGTGTATGAGAGAGTGTATGAGAGTGTATGAGAGAGTGTATTTAGAGAGTGCATGGGGAGTGTATGAGAGTGTATGAGAGAGAGTGTATGAGAGAGAGAGTGTATGAGAGAGTGTATGAAGTGTATGAGAGTGTATGAGGTGTATGAGAGTGTATGAGGAGTGTATGAGAGAGAGTGTTGAGAGAGAGTGTATGAGAGACTGTATGAGAGTGTATGGAGAGTGTTAAAGAGAGAGTGTATGAGAGTGTATGAGAGAGTGTATGAGAGTGTATGAGAGGGGTGTATGAGAGAGAGTGTATGGAGTGTATGGGGGGGAGAGTGTATGAGAGTGTATGAGAGTGTATGAGAGAGTGTATGAGAGAGTGTATGAGAGTGTATGAGAGAGTGTATGAGAGTGTATGAGAGAGTGTATGAGAGAGAGTGTATGAGAGAGTGTGTATGAGAGAGAGTGTATGAGAGTGTATGAGAGTGTATGAGAGAGTGTATGAGAGTGTATGAGAGAGTTTATGAGAGAGAGTGTATGAGAGTGTATGAGAGACAAGTCTCAGCTCCAGGTCCCTGGCGTGAGTGTGTATAAAAATGCACCACATCCCAATATCCTAATTGATATCCGTGTTAGGGTGTATACAAGTTTACTAATATTTGAATATAAACTTGTGAGAGCACAGTTGCTAATTTAAGACTCTTGAGCTTGGCTGGCGAATTAGTTGTTTTAGGGTTGAAACTGATCTAATTTCCACGTCCCTGAAGCCATTTTTAATTAGCACTGTATGACCCATACGGATTTAACGCTTCTTTGAAAATAATAATAATAAAAGGTATTCGAAGTAAGGGTGACAATAATGATATTAAAATAATAATAATGATAATAAAATAATTTTCAGGACTTCGGAGTTTATGGTATCCCTAAATAAATTATTATTATTATTATTATTATTATTATTATTATTATTATTATTATTATTATTATTATTATTATTATTATTATTATTATTATTATTAATTTTTAGCACCTCTGCCGGTTTCCATTACGTCAGTCATTCAAAGATGCAGAGTTCATCCAACATTACTTATTCCATTGTTGTATTTCCACAAGTGTGCGGATATCACAGCCCAAATGATTCACTGAACCGCAACATGCCATCCCATCTTACATAATACAGACACTATATTTCTACCTAAATAACTCGAGTCCAGCTAAGCGTGTTTCCTGAACTACTTCGTAAATATTACCTTGCTGACACTCCAACAGCAATGCCACTCTCCAAAACTGTCTCCAGTATTACATCTGACGCTTTATTTGAGTCCCTAGCTTTGACAACCTCTTTCGCACAGTGCTTTCAACTGTACTTAAGAGACTTTGCCTACACCTTCCATTCACTTCAAATTTATAAACACTATCAATCTATCTTGTTCCATTCTTTCTCTAGGACCAATTCATCTTAACTTTTTCTACTTGTTGAATGATGCCATTCACAGTACTACAGACTGATCACCAACACTACGTCTCCACTGCCTCCAGCCTCCCCGTCGTTGCAACGTTCAACGACAAGCACAGTTGGAAACAACGACACACTTTGAAGCAATCAACAGTAAACACTATGAACCAAACCGCGACATAGACATGCCTGTGCTTCAGATTCTTCAAGACTACGGTTCTTATCACCAACTTCAAGGCTGAGGGATTTATTACATATTTTGTATATAGTTCTACATTCTTCACATTATATCCTTGTATTTTATTGATGGATGGCGAAACGTCTACAAGAAGAAGATACCCAGATGTTACACATGTGTCTAATTCTTCATCTTGTCAGTATTATATACCAGTTCATGAACAACCTCTCGGTGTATTTAATATGTGATTCTCACCTGTTTCTACTTCTCCCAACAAACGCTCCTTCCTGACGGTGAGTAAGCAGTACGCTGCTTTTTGATCGACATATCTCAGTGTATATTCACTCAGAGAGTTTACTCAGACTCACAATACAGGCGAATTACACACATAATGACCCACGTGCAATATATAAACTTTAAACCTGACCAACTCCACGGCATTCTTAAAGAATGAACTCACTGTGTGACGCCGAGAATCAGGAGCAGCAACCAGAGGAGACTACCGCAGCAGCGGTCAACACACTGTGGTGGCCACCACGACACGTGAGGTGCTATGATGTACCCACAGAAAACGTTCTTCTCCTATTCCTTAGTTCACTCCGAGTAACATTTTCCACTCCGTTTCGTCTGCTTCTTCAGGAGGGGATCTGCTATGAAACTAATGAAACACTTCAGGGCCCCTAATCCCGGAGGGGCCCTCAGAAAAGACTTTAGTCTACTTTGCTTAAAAATTTTGGGTCTACTGTATGAGAAGTTTTTTTGTTTAAAAATAACAATATTAATAATAAAGTGTAATTTAATACTTAATAATATTTAAAATAAAAATTAAGAGGTTATTCAAGTATTATGTAGGCAAGCCGTTGCTGGTTGTGAAGGGGCCCCATAACAGTTCAAGCTTCAGGGCCCCAAAAATGTAGGTCCACCACTATGTTTCATTAAGGAATAGAAAAAAGGCTCAATAACGTAACTGGAACAATACACGAATAACAACAGCAGTAATAATAATATTAATAAAAATAAAAATAATAATAATAATAATAATAATAATAATAATAGCAATAATAATAATAATAATAATAATAATATATAATAATAATAATAACAGCAATAATAATAATATAATAATAGCAATAATAATAATAATAGTAAAAACTAATAATAATAATAATAATAATAATAATAATAATAATAATAATAATAAATAACAGCAATAATAATAATAATAATAATACATAATAATAAAAATTTAATAATAATAATAATAATAAAAATTTAATAACAGCAATAATAATAATAATAATAATAATAATAATAATAATAATAATAATAATAATAATAATAATAATAATAATAATAATAACATAAGACCAGGACACAGCTGAACAATGTAATTATTTTAATAAAATAAT